CTGTTTCACAACTTTTCAGGCGAGCCCTGCTGTGTGAAGAGCCGTCAGTAAAACATCAACAGCCTCCATCTCCATTCCACTGTTTGACAAACACCTGACCAAACACCAGACGCCATCACAGCCACAAGGAATGTGGAGCTCCACAACCATTCAGCTGCTAATTAACCTCATTGCATATAAAGCACAATCCTCGAGCTAAGGCGTAACAAATCAAACCTTTATAGCTTGTTCAGCACCAATGTTTTTCTTTTTTCACCCCTTCAGGGTGATCAGGGTCTGATCCAATTAACCTGCTTCTATTGCTACAGCCGAGACGGAGAAATTACTGTATCATTTTACATATGACGATCAATAAAAGCATAATTTAGCCCTGGGGGGGAGATCCACTGTCTCTGAGGGCTGAGGATATCTGTAAGTATTTCTCCTGTAATTACACGTCCGTGGGCTTTTCAATTAATCTCAACCCAAAGCTAGCCCTGACATTTCCGCAGCTCATTAATGAACAACAGCACACTTTACAAAGATGAAGTGGACTACAAAGCTGCACAGGGATATGAACATGGGTGACATTTAGTACTGCTGTGGCTCTGCTGTCTTCGGTAACAATACAAGAGGCATTTGCAAATGTTTTGCAGCATTTAATGGGAAATAGCTCCTCTTTGGCCTGCTGAGGAGATATCATACATCTTAATGAGTCTCAGATTCATCTGTTCTTTCAGCCACCACTGAATTCCACTCTCCAACAGTTTTAAGGAGACTATAAATATTTCAGCATGAAAATGATCTTTTTCTAGTGCTTTAGAATTGCAAATTAATTTCCCTCCACCCGCCGAGGATACAATTACGCTGTTGGACAGATTGTTCTAAAATTCTATCGAGCAAGTGACCCGTGAAAATTGTTTAAAACTAAAATAGGACTGACAATTTATATTGCAAATGAAATACGTTACTGCACAGATATTAGAAGGAATGACTCCAACGTTTTACATGCAATAATGATCACATTTGCTTGAAATTATGCACATTTGAAAGGAATTAGTGTATTAAAATGTGAAATGCAGCGAGTTGAGGGATCTGTAGGAGCAGCTATCCTGGCTGGGGAAGGCTACTTTAAAGTCAATGTGTGTGGTCAAAGTAATAAAGGGAGAGAGAGAGAGAAGCAGTCGGGGCTAGAGGTGAACGATGAAAAGCTTGCGGGCCAAGAGTTCTATAATGCTGAAATAAATTTCAGATTGTGTCTTATTAGATTTCAGCATTGTTATGTTTTCTAAAGTTTATTTATATGATAAATGTTAAGGCAACAGCAAACACTCCATGCTTCAGATTCTCCATGCAGCTTAAAGAAGCAGCCTGATTCCTGTTTCTCACTATCAGCAGAGTGATTTTGGGGCTGCCGACAATTTGCTGGCAACTACAAAAACCTGAGCTTTCCTCTGCAGCTATTGTGACAAGATGGGACAAAGGGAAGGGCAGGACGTAGCACCTGCAGCTGTGTATACAGGACAACACTGCAGAACTCTAGTAAAGTTCAACCACCGAGCAGAAGAAGCGAAGACATAAAAGAGCTGTGAAGAATTCCGGCTGGCTGACAAAATGGACACACAATACAAATAGCACGACTAAGACTGTGACTCAGTTTGTTGTTATTACGTCTGCACTTTGTCTGTGCTCCTATTTCTGTCAGTGACATGGGTCAATGATGGATAACCAGAGTTTAGATGGAGGGGAAATACTGGTCTGATAGGAAGTTACAGAGAGTTGCCAAATATTTCTACTAGAAGAATACTTAACTGAAAGCTGCTAATACAGCTGTGACAGTGAAGAGTACAATAGGTTCCCTAACAAAGAAATGTTAAATATTATTAAATAAATAGTCTTAAGAATAAAAGATCCATGCAATTTCCGAATTAAATTTTTAATTACTTGAAGTAAAAATTGGATCACCTATTTCCATTGTGTAAAATAATAAAAAAAAAACATTGTTTTTATGACAGTAAAGACAAATGGAGGCCTAATTCCAAAATTGCTTATTATTTCTGAGACTGATTAGTTGTGAATTACTATAAATGAAATAGCTGGAAAGGCGTTTCACACTGTATGGAGAAGACCATAACAACAACCAATTTTATGTTCACAAACTGAGTCCTTCACTTTTTGCACAGAATTCCAGAAGCAGGAAATTAAAAAGGCAGCTGTTGTATTAAGATAAGCCTCAGTGGTCTTGCATGCATTCATGGCATCTTGCATGATAATGGAGTCTCACATGGCTTCTCACCAACATCATGTTTGTTTGTTTTTTCAACCCTGTCAGGTGAATAAATTGTAATGACCGTTCATGGTCTAAAGCGGTTATTTATTCACTAATGGTGCTCCCCAAAATGTGGCTTGATGTGTTGTGTCTTTCATTGAGATCAGTTGTGTTTAGCGGCGGAGCTAATTATTTGTCTTGCCGTCTGTACACACTCTGTCTAGTTCGGTCCATGTCTGGAATTAAACAGTGCATAATTCTCGCTGGATTGCAGTCTGGCTTTAGAAAGACAGAAAAAAAAAAACCTCTTCTCTTCTGCTTAAAATGAGAAAGGAGATTCCGTAATGAGGGTTTGAACATTCAAGCCCATTCCTCTGTGTGCACGAACGGGTCAATGTGCAAGCATTCATATTGTTACTGACTGTGGAAGTAATTCCACACAGTATCAGAGCCCCATATATCATCTCTTAATAAAATGTTTTGAATTCATGCTCACACCTTATTACCAAAGACGGTGCTGGTTGATGCACTACCCCCTCTTATTTGTTTCTTCACTGAATATCAAGGGACTCTCACTGCTTCACTCTGTTTTCTCATTTAACAGCCTTTCGAAGAAGAGGAACCTTTGGCGGAAAAAGGTCAGTTTTAACACGGAAAATTGCTCTTAAGTCCTATTTGATAATCTCAGTGGGGTCTACGAGATATGTTTCAGTTCATAATACCGTGCCAGCAATACAATAGTCCACACCGAGGGATATGCATATACAGTATGCGTGGATATAATGTCACGCATAGTATGATGTGTGGAGAATACAATAAAGGCAGCAGATAGACATTAGCATTTGCTGCAGTTGTTAGCGAACCTGTTTTGAGTCAACATGGCAGATCGGTTCCTCTGATAAATCACACTCGAAGCATTATCTACAGTATGTTATGGCACAGTTACATAAGCATAAAAATGCTGAACATGTATTGTATGCAGTTATATACTGTTTGTATTTTTTATTCAAAACCTCATTAATTTTGCAGCATTGAGAAGAAAACAGATAATGCAGCTTTTGTTTGCAACACAACAGGTTTCAGAGAATTCTGACATATCCCTTTAAAGCTAAATAACGTCTAAACTCTTTTAGTCTTTTATGCTGTAATTATGAAGAAAACTAATTAAAAATGTGGTTCTTTACATTTCAGATGTAATCAGCTGTTATGATTGCAGATTAGGGCTGCAAGTAGCAATTATTTCCTCAATAAATTGGATTCACTGTTTGGTTTATAAATGTCAGAAAATAGTCATTGAATGTCTTTTCTGACCAAAGGTCAAAAACATAAAGACACACATTATTATATTATATTATTATCAGATAACGCAAAGAAAAGCAGAAAAGCAGAAGATTGAAATTGTAAATAGATATTACCTAAACGGATAATTGATTATCAAAATAATTGCAGCAATCTTTTTAGCTCTTTTACAGGTTACATGAAATTCTGATCAATTCCACATTAATATCTTTTAAACGGTGTACAATTAACAAAAAGAGATAATGTTCAAAAACATTTCAAGATAATGTGTCTATAATCTCGAACAGCCGCTGTCAAATCTTTTGGGAGCTTCAGAGACAAAACGCACTGTGACAAGATAATTATTATGCTGCGGGAGTTCAGAAGAAAACTGGAAGGTCAGTAAGAGCACACTTTGTGAGTTTAGTGACTCAAAAATAATGCAATCGCTGACTAGTTTCCTGCATGTCTTTCATAATGTCATCTCAACATGTGGTCAGCTGTTAAGAGACATTTCTCATATAAATAATCATCGTTCTCTGAAATCATGACCTGTAATAAGAAGACAACAGTGAACTTTTGATCCCACACTGCTGGGGAAGTACAGCATGTGATGATCTGATGACCGGAAAGTGAAGCAAGATTTGAATGCGTTGGTTGGACCTACAACTTCTTACAACTTCTTCCTCAGATACTTCAGTATCTGAGGAAGGTTTGTGTAAAATCAATAAGTAAGCTAGTGTTTTCTGAATATATATATATATATATATATATATATATTCATATCAAGAATCAAGAACCTTGAAGTCTGTTTTACATCGGTCTCACAGGAATTTTATGCTCTCTGGCAGATTTTTCTTCTGTTTCTACCTCTATATAGCTTCTGTTTTATTTGCTGTTGCAACCTGAGTTTAACAGATTTTTATGATGGACGGGAAATCACAGAGAGCCCCAAGGGTAGGCATTACTGAACTTTTCTTTCATTTGAGCCGGTAATATAGTTACATGGCTGACTGTCACTGATTTCTACTGTAAAATGAAGCAGACACTGAACAAGAAAATCAAAGTCTTTTACTAATCTGGTGATATGTAAAGCAGATCTGTTGTGTTAACTCGCCATATTACCTCAGCAAGAGCAGCGACTACGCCAGCTGTGTTTGAGATGTGGCCGGCATCCGGCACCTCTAAAGCCATTCTCTACACACCGGGGTGTCACTCTTTCATGTTCTTATGTTACATCAATGTAAAATATGCTGCTTCTCAGTGGCCATCTGGAGAGGGCCGGACTGGGCAGTGATAGTAAACGAGTGGATTACAGGGGTCAGTTTCTTGCTGGTTGCACAAAGGGATTAGCTCTGTCCTGTAGCTGCATGCTAACAACGTCTGCGACATCAGCGTCAATAGAAGGTGAAATCACAGGGGTTTTAACTATCAGCACTGCTATTCTGTTTGATTGTGCATGTCAATTACAAACCTGGCAGACAGTAAGAGCACTGGACTGGTCACTCTGCTTTTTCAGTCAGATAGCCATGCTGTAGGTCTTTGCACTCCCTGGTGTGATGGATTTTCCTGATCAGATGACAACTGGAGCAGAGAGAACCAGTTATGTTTTACAGAGTGGAGACTGGAAACGCTCAAGAGGAAAGGGGGGGGGGCGGGGGTTGTGGTATTTTCCTGCATGCAGTCTGATCCTAAAACACAGGTGCAGCCTCCATGCAACCCTCTCTGCCTTTGAGCATACCCCACCCCCCCCTCCTCCCTGATGCAAAGTGTTTGTCCATCTGATCCTCCTTAAATCCTGATTATTATGGATTTGTCTTTTTCCAACCTGTGATTTGCAGAGATGAGGATCTGCTAAAGGTTATCTGAGGGACTGGATCTATCAGTTAGGGGGTATTTAAACACAAAAACACAAAATAATAAAGATGTGTAAATGAAGTCGCTGTTCAGTCCAGTTCTAAATGCAGCCTACTATCAAAAGGTGAAAATAGGGCATATATGACTATGAAGAAAATAACAATTCAAGTGGAAGCTGACATTACATGGATTTACTTCCAGTTGCTTTAACAGAAAATAACATTGTACAACTCACTGTTTTTCGACCGTAATCTGAGGAGTCCTATCTCCCAGAGAGAACAACTATTGGAAAAAAAAAGGGGTGGGGGGGTCCACAGCTGAGATTTGGGGCTCCCAGCGGCGTCATGCAGAGCCGATCATTGTCTCTCTCACACTTTCTAACTGGCCATTTCACGACATCCAGACAGCACATCGGGCCGTACGCAGCAGCAGAAGCAGCTTCGCCCTCAGGGCTTTTTTTTTCTCCCTGACGTCGACCATAACTCACAATTTGGATTCAAAGCGCGGATGGGGGCAATTACTGGACTTAATGTCTCCTTTCCGATCGACCGATAGTCAAATGAGTTAAGCAATGGCTGCAGAGATTTGAGACCCCCCCCCCACCCACCCCCGGGTGCGAGAAGTGTCTTTTTAAATAAATCCCAACTAAAAAAAAAAAAAACTTTCATTTCACCGAGAAGAAGATCGGTGGACATCATGCACAGATTTGCGGATTTAATACTCAGAAAGCCACTGAGTGCGTTTGATTTCGGATTACAGTGACACACAGGACGAGGTTTTTTTTTTCTGAAGGGGGAGATTTTTTAGGAGTCTGCTCTCTCTCTCTCTCTCGCTCCTGTTCGCTGTCCTTCGGGTTCCTGCAAGACTCCCAGAGTCGTGGAGAGCCCATGCAGTCGCCAAGGTTGGTTTATCTTTAGTTCGAGACTTATTTAGAATTGTAATAAATGTTATCGGAGTATATTTTACGCAGGAGTCTTGCCAGTTTTTGCCGAGCTGGCAGGGGTTTTAAACTGTATCTCTGTGTCCTAAAATATGTATATTTTTCAGATGTACAAATCAGGAGAGCTCGATTTCTGCAATATTAACAACGTTAACCATTTTGCAAGTGTCACTCAAGAATTACGCATAAAAACTGGGTTCACTTCACCTCACTGCATTTTTAAATATTGAAGTATGCAGCACTATTTAATGCTTCACGTTGTCAGCATTTATCAGCTCCTAAACAGAAATAGCGTTGAGGCTATTACTTCTATCTGACATGGAATGACAAGAAGGATCTTCTTCCAGGCAGTGCAACGGGACAAATGCGCCTGCTGGCTGCAGATTTACACCTTTTTAAATCCCAATTGCATGACAGCCTGTAATTAGAGCAATAGACGAGCTGTCCATATAGCTCAGATTTAATGACAGGTTTGGTTGTCCTCATAATGCCATGTGCGTTTGTGTCGTGATTTGAGGTTTCATATCAGAGCTCATAACAAGCGCCATCTGTTGGATAAGAGGATCAGTCCGCTGTGACCATCGATACAGACGCATATAAAAATTTAGTGCGCAATTCAACACTGAAGAAGAGATGAAGCGCTTCACCAGTATTACTTACATTACACTATATTCAGTGGATGAAAATGTCGAAACGCTGTCAGGTTTGACAGGTGATATCAAAGATTTAAAGCACACCATTAAAAGTGATAGGATTATATCTACTGGATTTATGGAGATGTTTTATTGTTAAATGATGTCACCTTCACCTGTCGCAGCATGTGGCGCACATGACAGCTGTTTCTTATGTGTCATTTCTCTATGGAGATGTTAAATCCCAGGAAAAACTCATTTCAATTAATTAGCAATCAAACAGTCTGTTGATTGATCAGAGACTAAAATATCATCCAAAGGCCAAAGTATAGCCGATAGCAAATGTTTGATGAGAAAAGCCATATTGGGGAGAAGAAACCTGACCTCGTTTTGATTGGTGCTGTAGTCAAACTGATAAGATATGCCTTTGTGATGAGAATTAGGGCTGCAGTCTATAACATTTCAGAAAATGAGTCAGAAATGGCATCACAATGTGTCAGAGCTCAGGATGATGAGTTCATATTGCGTCTATATTCCAACAAACAGCCACAACACAAAGACATTCATTCTTACAGTGATATAAAACGGAGAATATTAGTGAATCTTTGCATTTGTGAAGCTGACGATTGACTAATCTGTTAATCGACTAAACATTGACTCTGTAATTAAAATCAGATATTTTAATACAGAATAAGGAATATATAGGTCCTAACTGAATAAATGGATTGTAGACTTCAAAATAAATTGTTTAAAGATTGTTTAAAGATCTAAAGATTTCAACCAAGAAATGAAAGACCAATAATTGAGGAGCAGAGCAAAAGATATCATTAACATCTTGATAGTAAGTAATATACAGACACCATTGTCTGCAAAGTTGCTGCAACAGGTTTCAAATCTACAATCTGCACCATCTATTTTCCGGATGTGATGTGAACAATCCACTAACGTGTGAATCACTCACATTTAAAGATATCTGCACAACAGTAGGACAATTTAATTCCTGTGTTTGCCTCTACATCCACACTGTCACTGCTAAAAGCCCCAAAATGTTCCACAACTCATCAAAACACATCACAGAGCAACGTCTACCTTTCAGTTAGTCATTCATTGTAGATGTGAATACATGCTGGGAATCAGTCTGCACAGGGCCACCCTTGTTGAAAACATGTGTAGGCTCAGACCTCATTGTGCAGGAACGTATCCATCATCCACGAGAGGGACAGCAAGCATTCACAAAGACGTTCACCGTACTATGGAAAAATACCGTACAGCCAGCCATAACCTGAGTGTGCTGCCATCTGTGTGGTAGTATGTTGGTGTGAATGGCAGTAAAAGACAGCAGGAATGTGTCATGTGTATAAGATAATCAAAGAAGGTGGTACTACGCCTTTTAGAGGAGGGGATCACGGCCTGCTCTTTGTGGAAATGTATTCAAATCCTTCAAACTGGCATGCATTAAATAAGCCCACTCTATTACAAGTCCTGCATTCTTAGTTTTACTTTAAATCAACGCACTCCTTGTGGTCCCTTTCTCACTGCTGATGTGGTAACCTGCGTATGTACTGCAGTTATGGCTTTGATTACTTCATGTACTGTTGGGTGATTTAAACTACAGCAAGGCATCATGGTTTGTAGTTATATGCTGGGTCACGGGGAACTAGTGCCATCAGTAAAGAGTACAATGTCCTGTCCAACGCAGTAGGTATCATTGAGAACACACCGCTCATGTTCTTAAGAGTTTTTTCGGGGAATTTAACAACTGAGGATGAGTTGTCACTATCATATAATTACAGGCATATTTCACAAAGTGGGTTTTTAAATGCTGGATGGATTCTAATTGTGCTTCCTTTACTTCCACCCTTTAATATTCAGTTTGATTTTATGTTTTGGCAGTTGAATTCCATTAGAACCCTTTTAAGTTCCAGTTTGTCTGACAGTATGTCTGACACATAGAGCTGAAACTATTTGGCAATTAATACATTTGTCAATCAACGGAAATTTTTTCTGCAACTTTTTTGATAATTGGTTAATCATTTAAGGCATTTTTTGGTGCAAAAGTGCTAAATATTCGCTTGCTACACCCTGTCGAACATGAATATTTGATGTTTTTGTATTTAATGTGTGAACTAAATATCTTTGGGTTTCAGATTGCTGGACAAAACAGCCAATGTGAATATGTGAGCTTTGGGAAACTGTGAGATTGCCAATCTTCACTATGGTCTCACATTTTATTATGTAAAAAAATAAATTATCAATAAAACAATAAGCTGATTAATCGATCATGAAAATAATTGTTGGGGGCAGGTCTAATAAATATTACAAAACAGCTTGTTCAAATTCCATACGTGATGTTTACGCTGAGTGAAATATTCAATCCTAAATTCTTTTGGCTTCACCATTTCATCAAATGGGAATGTTCTCTGTGTCTTCTGCATCATTTTGTTCACATGTATCCAACATTCAGTTTGACAAAATTGCCATCTTTAGAACCTTTAGGGTCTCCACTAGAACATAGAATGATGTTATGTGGATTTTTGTCTGCACAGTGTGAGTTAGTTGGCCTACCAGTGGGTCTGTGAGGACGAAAAGGGGCAACTTGGCTTGCAGCCACCATTTTAAGTAATGCATTATTATATCTCAGGTTTAATAAACACGGCAATGAGTGCTGATATGAAGGGCAGATCATTCACAGCTATGTGAGAATAAACGCAATGTTTCTTTACATTGTATGTTGTCGTTTTCCAACTCTTTCCCCTCTGTGTTGATCTCCACACACACACACACACACACACACACACACACACACACACATGCTTCCGATCAGACCTTTCGCACACACGGCGTTGTGGACGAGCACGTTGCGGGTCGCGAAGACTCGGTCGTCGTCCTACAAGTCTGCACATTGAGTTGTAATTTGAAACGTGCAGAGGGGGTTTAAGGGCAGAACAGGAGAGCCGTGATTGGTTCAGTGTGTCCGCTGTGCTCCTTCTCGACACTCCCTAAAAAGGAAGACAGATTGGCTGGCTGGCTGCTTTCAGCCGCTTGTCCCGCACTGAGTGTTCGCTCTCAGCTAAGAGGGCAGAAACAACTTGTTACCAGTCAGGGATGAGACGGCGGGACTTCAGACCTCTTTTATGGGACTTTTTGTGGGTTTTCTCAACGAGGACTCGGTGTGGCTCTAACTCGTCTCCTCTGTCCTTTCCTTAACCCGGTGCGACCACCAGGGAGAGGAGTGCAGAGCGACCCCGAGCTGGATGGACGGTTATGGGGAAAAGAGGAAGAGCCTCGGCGCTTGACGTGTGCAGAGTCCTCGCGGTGTTTCTCTCGCTCTTCCCCTGCGGTAAGATGATACTTTTTGTTACTTTTTTAATTAAAAAGCAAAAGTTTTTCAAATAAAGTTTTTTTTTCTTTTTCTTTTTCTTTTTTAAAGCGACATACTGGCATGTTTTCACTGATACGGTTTAACATGGTACACCACAATATGATACGGTTTTTGCTGAAGTTCGCAAATTGCTATAAACAATACATGCATGTATAAGTCGCTGCAGCAAATCAGTTGGAATTGCATTCAAACTAAATACAACAATGAATCTGGATCACTGAGATTTTGGGATTGTAGTAAACCTACGTGCAGACGTCTGGTTTTTGAAAATATTACAACAGGCTGGAAAGTTAACAGCCATGCCATTACAGCGCAACATGCGAGTAGTTCAAGCAGCGTTAGCTTTACTCAGTGTTTTACTATTTTATTAGAGAAAGACTAAACAAAGTGAGAGGTCCCTTAGGAGCTGCTGCAGCCCCCCAACTCTTGTTTTGTTTGGGGGATGGTGCATGCCTCGGTGTTTTGCAGTGGCTCCTTGGAGAACTTTAAGTTCGGTTATTAATTAAGCAGGGAATAACACTTTGAGATGTTTTAATTGCTGCCATTAAAACTTCCTTTAGAGAGTGTGGTGGTGGGATTATGGTTTGAATGCGCCTGTTGCAATGTGTCCAAAAATCCACTATAATAGCAATTTTTTAAAAGGTCCAGTGAACTGTTGCAGTGACTGTGTATCTTTTATATTTGACTCCCACATGTTTGTGTTTAAATTGTCTTAATATCCTTGTAATTTGAAAATGGGATGATTGCAGTGGTTCACTTTTTGCAGTGTGGATACCTAGTTCAGCTCACTTTGCATGTTTGCCAAACCCTTATCAGTTTCCCTCTTAAGTCAAACAACAAAGGGATAACACTGATAGTTGAGATCAAGATTAGTTTATTGCCATCTATCAAATGGCTGGAAGATGGAGAGGCCATGTGGGGGTTGGAGAGAGCTGCGGCGAAGCTTTCAGGAGGGATATCATTTAAAGTGTTACTTCAAAGTGTTGATATGGCTTTGGGTGAAACTTCTCACGGCCTATTCAAATAAATGCTTTATTAGTCAAAGGTAATACTAATCACACATGGTGTGACAACAAGGCATTCTTAGATATGTTTAAAGAACATTGTGTAAAGAGTTGGACGGATGTGGCAATAACGTTGGAGGCAACAATCTACCGTCAGTAGCGTTTATTATCACTATAGGTGATGATTAGGATTCCCAAATGGCAATTTTTACTTCTGCATTAACCAATGAGTGTGAAAGGTTGACCAGAGGATGTTCAGATCTGCGTTTAGTTCACATGTGTTTCATGCTGGGAAAAGATTTTTTATACATATTGGCATTATGTTATTTGTCCTTTTTTTTTTTTTTAAATGATGTACAAACAAACCTCAGCAGCAAATCTAGAATGAGGCTTTCGCTTTCTATTTATTTTCTCCAGCATTTGAGTGTTTTTCAAATTTTGACCAGATGCCAACTAGATGATAGACAAAACAAAAGTATGTGACAAAATATAAGAGTTCCTACTTTGCTATTATTAAAATGTGTTTTAACTTGATGTATAGTATTTGGCACTGCGGCCTAACCACGATGGCTGTGTGGAAATGTTGTTGATTATTCTTGTTTTAGATTCAATTTTAAATCTGTGCTTCAAAGCTACCATCAATAACAGCCAACGTGTATTTATAGCTGTGTCTTGATCATGTTTCTCAATGACATGGTGTCCTGTGGTTTGCTTCTTTTTGTTCAAACTGTCTATTGTTCCTCCCTGACAGTGAGCCTGCAGTGCAAGATCCTCAAGTGTAACTCCGAATTTTGGGCCTCCACCTCAAACTCTGGCCCCGAGGAGGAGTTTTGCACAGCACTGCGAGCGTACAACGGCTGTGTACGCCGGACTGCGCGGACCTGCAGGGGGGACCTGGCGTACCACTCCGCCCAGCATGGCATAGAGGATCTAATGAGCCAACACAACTGCTCCAAGGAGGGGCCGACGTCCCAACCACACGCCCGCACCCCTCTTCCTCCTCCACCTCCGCCGCTGCTGCCCGACAGCCAGGAGCGCTCGGACGGGCCAGAAGTGTGCCACTATGAGCGCAGTCTTCACCGCAACACCGCGCCGCCCAACTACACCCACTGTGGCTTCTTTGGAGATCCACACCTCCGAACATTTAGTGATGACTTCCAGACATGTAAGGTGGAAGGAGCCTGGCCGCTCATCCACAACAAATACCTGTCTGTCCAGGTGACCAACACTCCTGTGGTGCCAGGGTCTTTGGCCACCGCCACGAGCAAGGTGGGGATCCTGTCTCTTCGTCCTGTATGCATGTCAATGTGGTCTACTTAGTTCAAAAGCAATAACTCTGGGGATCAAACACGGAATCAACTCAGGGCTGGTATTTTCATTTGTCGACTCATCGTCTCGTCCATAAATCGATGAAAAATGTCCATGGCGACATCGTCCCGTATCTTGTTTTGTCTGTCTAACAGTCCAAAATATTCAGTTTACTATCACATAAGTCAAAGAAAAGCAGCATGTTCTCACATTTGAGAAGCTGGAACAAGGACATTTTAGACATTTTTGCAAGACTCATAAATGAATGGAGCAGTTGTTTCAGCTCTACAATCAACAGAAAAGTGTTCAGCAACAGTTGTGACAATCAATTAATCATTGAAGTAATATATAAATCAAAAGTGCCAAAAATGGCTGTTCTAGCTTCTCCTATGAAGTTTTTAAAATCTGTTTTATTAAATATGTGTGAGGCTTTGACTGTTGGTCAGACATAAAAAAAACTTTGTTTCATTGATTTGACGTGTTAGTCGCATCAGATCATCCTACTGTTCATATTCGCGTGTCGTCTTTCATGTGGTCTGTTGGTCAGAGCTGCTGTGGGACTGCTTCTCTGGTTCGTGTTTGGATGAGGTTCACATTGACGGATAATGAAGCCAAACCCAGTTCCATTGCAAAGATCTAAATAAGCTTTATAAATGATATGTTAGCGTTACAACAGCGGTGCTGCATCAAATGTTAACACGAGGCTCCATTTTCACTTTTCACTGTGGACAGCGCAGACTGATGTTTGGCCTACTTAGAGTGTCGTCCACACTGAGCCCATTAGGTTCAGAAATGTTGTGTCTGCACAGAACTGTAGACATTTTCACTCCGTTATGAGATATTTTCTTTCGTGGCTTTATCAGCCGTGCATTCCTGGTTATTGTTGCTTTGTTTAATGGTGAATGGGTTCGTTTGGATGTCTGTCCCTGAAATGGCTTTCAGTAGAACTTGAGGTCAATAACAAAGAAGTAGGAGCATTTGTAGTTGGCAAAGTTTTGACAGCAATGATTCTGGACCTCAGCCACTCGGCAGAGTCTCAAAACGGAGGTATTTAGACTGAGGCATACGGCAAGAGAATGTTGTCCTTATGTACATTTGTAGAAAGTATAATTTTCTGCAATTAAGGTTTCTTAATTATACTCTATTAAGTTTTTTTTAAAGCTTTTAAAGTAATGACATTTTTTGATAATGCTGTTCTTGGAAGCAAATGAGACAACTTTTCTGAAGATCTTGATTCTGGACAAAGGGAAAACAAGGCAGGAGCCAAAGCCACCTGTGCAAACAAGGCCCCTCTGCTAAAAGATCTGCAATAGCAGAGCTCTGTGCTGCTGCATTACTCTTGCAACAGCAAATAAAACTGTCTGCTTATTTCCATCTTAATTCTGATGGAGGGATAATGGAGGCTTTTTTGTTTGTTTTCATTAAAAGCAAACAAAAAAGATCCAGTGAGAGAAAAAAAAAACAGAAGATAATGTAGGTGGGAAATGTTCCCCCCTGAGGGCGGAGGGAGTTGACACAGAACTGGTGCAACAGATAAATTGTCATGCTAATAGCGTATTCTGTAGACTCCCTCTGTCACAAGCGAGCAGACATCGGTCCCTCGGCTTTTCCTGGTGTCGCCGCTCCGACAATGGCTCATTGGTGTCCCGATGAAACCGAGCTCGCGGAGTCCTGAGAGGTCTCCCTTAATTAGCTGCAGAGTATATCGCTCCGTCCTGGCCCAACGCCACTCCCTGGAGCATAGTTGTGGGGTTCACAGGCAGGTTTTTCAGCGCGATGAATGGATCGTCTTTGTGTCTGCAAACTGAGGCCTGATTTTACATAGCCGAGACTCGTGTTTTTTGAGGGCGTTTACCTTGGCCTCCCCCATGTTGAGCCAGTGCTGAAATGGGACACTTAAGTGGGGTGGATGGCACATATAGCACAAACTTGTTCTTAATGCAAATGTATAAGCACTTCCCTTTTTTTTTTTTTTTTTATTTATTTATTTTTTTTATTTAAAGAGTTTACATCTACTGCATTTTACCAGCATTCCAGAAAAGCACTGCAACTAATGTCTACACACTTGCATTTATGAGAAAGGCAAAACGCACACGATGATTTACGCTGAGATGTCTTTCTCTTTCTGTTCCCCTGCAGCTGACAATCATCTTTAAGAATTTCCAGGAGTGCGTGGACCAGAAGATGTACCACGCGGAGACGGATGAGCTGCCGGCTGCATTTGCAGATGGCTCCAAGAACGGAGGGGATCGGCACGGAGCGAACACTCTGCGCGTGGTGGAGAAGGTTCCCGGGCAGCACGTGGAGATTCAGGCCAGGTACATCGGAACAACCATAGTGGTCCGGCAGGTGGGCCGCTACCTGACCTTTGCCGTGCGGATGCCGGAGGAAGTTGTGAACTCGGTGGAGGAAGGCGACGACCAGGACCTGTACCTGTGTCTCCACGGCTGCCCCGCCAACCAGCGCATCGACTTCAGGAGCTTCAAGGTCCGTGCGGCGGAAGCCCACAGCGTGGGCAAGATCAGGGGCGGCACCGCGGCGCACGGATTTACCTACCAGTCGGCCAAGGCCAAATGCAAAGAGCGGCTCCCGGTGGAGGACCTGTACTTTCAGTCGTGCGTGTTTGACCTCCTCTCCTCTGGAGACATCAACTTCACCATGGCCGCCTACTACGCCTTTGAGGATGTAAAAATGCTCCACTCCAACAGCAAGAGATACCACATCTTTGAAAAGGACGCGTTTATGAGTAATGCCGGCCCGAGGGGCAAAGGTTTCCTCTCACTCCTCTTGCTCAACATCCTTGCTGTCTTACTGTGGGTTGAATGTTGCACAGTTCATCTATAGTTGCGTCACAGCAGTATCCTCGTGTTGTATCTGTCAGTGAGTGTTAGAGTACCGTCGCTGTGTCGTGCATTGGCTCCTCTCGTCTGCTCTGGTCCTGAGACTTGACTGGTGGCTTGCCAGTAGAGTCCTCCCAGGCCCGAGCCTCATTTTAGTAGGATTGTCATGTCTCGACTTCAGTCTAATGACAAGTAGAGGTCGCCGTGCTCCCACCTATCATCACGTGTGTTTAGCTGGTTCATAGGACCGGTCTTTGATGAGAGCAGCGGTGAGAGAGCCCAGCTACTCCAGAGCTCAGGATATCCACCTGGGATTAAATCCCACATTCTCACCGGGCCCGCATGCCTATGGGAAGCCGGACAAGATGATCTTTTGCAGAAAGAAGAGTTTGCTGATCCTCCCTCTCCTGATCCGCTCATTGGTGCCGAGCCAGTGGCTCATGTGGCGACGCGAGAGGACCTGACAGGGGCTTTTGTTAACCTAAGGCCAGAAGCAGCTCTATGTTTGATTAGTTTCCAGCTTTGGAAAAGCCGGAGCCTTTTTGGAGGAAGCACTCAGCCAAAAGGATGTCAGGGCAGTGTCTCCAGTTGTCTGCTGTGGAGATTAATGGGTAATATTGTAATACAATTTTGTGTGTGTGTGTGCGTGTGTGTGTGTGTGTGCATTAGTCAAATATGTGTGCAGAACTCAGCATCTGTGGTTAATTTTGTGTGTTTGTGGGTCTCCAGGAGAAATCTTTCCCAAGTGTGTGGAACCCCAAAATTTCAGAAATAGAAAAGATGAGGCGCTCCACGATCTGTCAATATGACCTCTTATCTGCCAAGTAGCAAATCCCAAAAGGGAAATGATTTAAAAAAAAAAAAAAAAAAGAAAAAGAAAAGTCTCTTTTCAGCATCATACAGACCTTTTACTCCATTGTTTGGGCTGACATGTTGATCAGTGTTTTGTATTTTACGTCTGTAATGTGAATGTAGCGAACAAGAAAAGCAAAAGAACAACCGTAGTTCAGGGCACTCCTAGCGTTTACAGAATGTAGATCGACCTGTCGAACTTAAACGCCTCTTAGGTAGCATTTTGTGACTTGAACTCTCCATTTCAAGCCTGTGGTGTAGATACTGTTAGTACTAGCTGTAAAGACGTCAGTTTAGCATTTTATAGACGACCAGTGTGCTGAGCTGACCGTGGCTTTGTGCGTAAACGATAAGCACATGTCGGTAGACGTGATTTCATGGCTTCAGTCATTGCCAAAGAACAAGCCCTCGTGCCAACATTTCCCTCCCAACAACTGAATTTTCCATCTTTCAGTCTTAACAATTCACATTTGGGGGATTCTTAATTGTATATAGCTTGTGTTTGTTGGTGAATAATGCATTACAGTAACACACTGTAAAAGCAGCATTGGTTTTCCTTTTAGCAAGTCGCACCTTTGCTTTTCTTGTGTTTTCATGCGAACACTTTCCATTTTGAACTTTGGCGCTCAGCTGCAATATCTGGAAATGTGCAAGTCCTCCACGTAGATAGTTACTACTCTGGCACAGTTCTACGGTCATTTATCCTTTACACTGAAGTATTTGGCAGGCTTTACTACTGCTATTTGGAACATGTAATGGTGCAGTTTGACAACAACAAAACAAAAAAAAAAGTCACGCAAACAAATGATTGTAATGTTGAATCTTGTGTTAATAGATGTAATTTGTGTTGTGAGTTTTACAGTATATGGTTCTACATTTGAAATGTGAGGTTGTACATATGCTTTGTGAGTTTAAATTTGTATATTACCAGTTGTGTTTTGAATGTATCACTCCTGTTTTTGTAAATCAGATGTTTTGGTGAATGTGAACTTTTTTTTTTTTTTTTTGAAAAGGGATTTCTTACAAAAACATGAACACCACAGAACAAGATCTTCTTTACTATATACAGTACTGAGGAAGTGATCAAATGCTGGTTGTCATCACTTTATCTAAAACATGCTGAATGCAGTCCACATCATCTAGAAACATGTTCTGGGGTGTTCGTGTTTTTGAGTTTAAAGCACTTTATGTTTTCTCTTCCATTTAGCTCTTATTGTTTGAATTTCTGTGTCAGACTTGTAGATGGCAGAAAAGAGTTTTAAAAAATAGCTGAATGGGAAATGCCAGAAAGATCAAACTGTTTGTAAAGCAAATGCGGTGCCACACGCCAGCTGTTTATAATGTAAATTATTTATTGAATAAAAGAAAATGTCTTGTTGATGAGGTGCCCTCTTGTCTGTTGCTGTAATAATCTGCAGTTTGACTGCCCCCTGCTGTAAAGATGTAGTCGTAAATGTGAACAAATGTTTCTCTAAAGAAGGATCTTAAACTATGATTTATTAGTCAAAAGTCAGACTTACGTTTTGTATAAATGAGCTGACAGTGACATTGTTCTTCAGTGCAGATAAATGTTCTAAAGGAGGATGTTACAAAAAGAAGAGGAAATTAATTTAAAGCAGAAAAGAACAAGATAAAGTTTGAATTGAAGTCTGGGGGGGGGAAAGACATCTTTGAATTTCCACAAAGTTTCACACATTTCTCTTTTCTTTTAAAACAAACATGATAAACCGACATACATCAACGAGAAGATACAATTTCGCTTGTCAAATATACAATCTCCCAACTCGAGCACTGACTCAGTCGGAAGCAGAACGCCGAAGGTGTCTGCTTCATGAATACCTCATGATTCAGAAATGATATCCAGGATATCGCTTCATGAATACCTCATGATTCAGAAATGATATCCAGGATATGAGTGTTAATTGTAGCATACAAGAGGAACGCGTATTAAATACTTTCCCTACAATTAAGTTGACATGATCAATATATGCTATTAAACATATTTAACATTTTGAATGAGCCGTCTACTGTAAAATGTTTCCATAACTGAACTCGAAGGTCGACGTAATCTTCCGAATAACTTTGAATTCAGTTTTATTTATTGGCTTTCAAACTGACCACAGCTCATGTAATACCTAATATAAGTAGACATTTATAAATGCGGACTTTGATTGATCGTTACACAGCAATCCTGAAACTCTCTTGCTCGTCTTTGCAGAGAAGACGACACGATGAAGCAGTTCTGAAACTGAAATCAGGTGGACGAAAATTAAAGTAGACACATTTTCAGTGTGTAACAAAGTTTATTACATATGTCCAAACATATGTACAGCACATTTACTCACGAAGAGTGGCTTTGTCACAAATATAAATTATTTAGACTTTCAGAACATGTGATACAGCAACAGCAGCTCGCTTAACGTGGAAGGAAAGATGCGCTGGTTTCACTGTAACGGGTCGGCCAAGTGCCCCGGACGAAACACACGTGATTTCTTGGAATTTAGGTTTTTACTCATCAAATCATCAACACTTTTGGAAACCACGTGATCATCACCAGACTAAGTGGTCCCTTAACCAGTTCATTTAGAGCAACTTCCTTAAAATGAGACTGTAATACTACACCCTGCCTTCAGTAGGCCCCAGTACTGTCCATGTACAACATACAGTATGATAATACACACATAAATAAGGCACAAATGGAGAAGCATAAAAAAAAAACAACTGAGGGCCAGAGCAGGTTTGGCACAGGAAAAGAGTGACCAAAGGTAATAAACTTCAATGAAACGTCATCAGCAAATCCCTGATAACCCTGAATCAACCTACCAGCAACAAACAGCGTTACCAAACCATAGAGAAGGAACATGTTTGATCACAGAGTGTTTTCAGACAGCATTGAGTACTTACACACTGGAGGTGGGAAGATGAAGTAATGAAACTACACTGAAGTACCTTCCTTAGCCACCAGAATACTGAAAGGCAACAGAAATAAAGGATTGTCCCAAGTTAGTGTTATCAGCTCTAATACTGCTTACAAAGCTTCCACTGGGCCTGCTAAGAGGGAAAAGTGGTTAAAGTGGACCAAAGCAAGAGGATTGCAATGATTTATAGAGCTACACAATTACAGAAATAATGATTATTTGTACACGAGCGATAAGAGTTTGATAAAAAAACATTTTCAGACGACTTGTAGAGTGTTTAGAGGAAACATACTGGCTTCGTTGCTCATTCAAACTTCATAAGAATTAGGCCGCGTCATCACGTCACCATTGTAACCCACGTGGTGATTCGGTTCAGCCACACGTTCACGGTGCAGACGAGGACGAACGCGTTACACATTCTTTCGTATTGAAATCTTCTACTGACATCGTTTGTCAATACTTACAAGTTAAACACAAAAAAAAAAAAATGATGTCCGTGTCATGCTTCCTTTGGGAAAAGAATCCCAACATTTACCATTCAGAAAGGCCAAAGCCTTCAGGCACTTTTAGGATTGAGATCAGTTCGTGTATCCTAAATTCTCCTTAGAAAATAGTCCATGGGACTAAGCATCCATAAGCACTCCACTCAGTCTCACCATGGTCGACTGATTTGAGTCGAACCATTTCAATAAAGATGCTTGTTTTAGTTTTCTTTGTCATCTTGAAGATGACAGACAAACGTCTTCCTCCAGGGCACCGTTCACAGCCAGTGTCACTGGGGGGTAAAGAGCAAAACAGCTTTGCTGGTAAAGAGGGTACATGTTGAGCTTATGATTGGCGAGTCCAGACTCCATCAGCAGCATTGGCATCCTTTTATGTTTTCCTGTTGTTCCAGTTGGGATCTGCCGTGGCATTGGGCTCTGCGGGCCGCTCTGGTGGAGAGCGGGAGTCCTGGGGAGACTTCTGAGCCTGCGGGGAGCGAGGGTCCAGCAGCGGGGGAGGCTTGTCGGGGTGGAAGGGCCGGCTATAGTGCTCTGGTCCAGGTGGACCTGTTGGCCTCTGCTCTGGCATCCTCCGGAAGTCCTGCAGAGGGCCTTCTCTGCCCTGGTGGTAGTTGGGACGGAATTCATCAGGACGCCTTCTTTTGGGATCTGAATGCCTGAAATATAATTTATAGCATGTTTTGTTTTAAACCAGTGGTAGGACATCGGGCTGTGCAACTAATTATGATTATGAAGTGAGACAGTGAGACTGTCGACTGGGCGGACCGTCCTCAGTTTAGCATAGTCAGCAACCCACCCAGCGAGTCTTGAAACACAGTCTCGTGTGACTTTTCTTTGCCGTGTCATCACCTTTCACATCAATATAACCAATGTGTTTGTGATTAAATTGTTTACAGAGAAAGTTCTTCAGAGGTCCAGCCTCTTATTTCTGCTCTCAAAACACAGCAGGTTGATGCATTTAACTTTAAAATGCTGGCTACAAAATGTTCTTTTTTAAACGCATGATGTTTCCAAAGTGAAATGAGTAATCATGTTAAATAAATCGGGATTATTTATTTATTACTATTACATAAAGCAGAAATAATCTTGATTATGATTTTGCATCAATCGAACAGCCCTAGTAAGACACAATAGTTCCCGATATTAAGACCCCAAAAACTAACCTGGAACATGTAATCAGAGTACCTCTCACCTGTCATAATAGGGCCTGTGGCCCCGGTGGTCCCGGTCGTTGTTGTACTGCTCGTACGGCCTTTTCCGAGGCGAGCCGTCGTTGCGGTAACCGCCTGAGCTGCGGTACGAGTCTCCGTGAGGTCGTCGATCACCGTAGTGATCCTTGTAGCGATCGTACGGGTGATGTCGGTCTCCCTGCCACGACTGGTTGCTGTTACTTGGGTAATTGTATTTACGGTCCCTCTGCCAGTCTCCTCTATCTGTAATGAAACATGTCAAAAATAAAGTTAGATTATTCATTTAATAAATAACTTTAATTAAAGATCAATGTTTTGGGGAAAACATTTAGTTAAATAAGAGGATGGATACCACTCTGGTGTCTGTATGGTGAAGATGAATCTACAGCCAGGACATGATTAGATTACCTTAGCTTAGCATAAAGACAGGAGGAAACAGCTAGACTGGCTCTGCCCAACGTTAACATAATCTGCCCGCAAGCACCTAAAAAGCTCGCAAATGCTCACTTTGTTTTCTTCTTTGACTTTAACTAACATCATTCTATCCGCACGTACCATCATTGCCAAAGTGTCGCTTATTAGCCGAGTTGTACGACTCTCTGTGGTGTCCGTGGGGGCCCGTCTGAGACGAGTGAGATCCAGGTTTCGAGGACGACTGCGTGCCCGTGGAGTCTCTACTGGAACCACAGGGCTCTGGTCGGAAGTTTTTCGACCTCCCTCCAGAATCCTCCTTCTTCTTCTGCTCCTTCTGGAAACGCAAACAGGATATGTTCAGCGTTGGTTTTGTACGATACATTATGTTTACCTCCTAACACTTGATAAAGTGTCTACGACTAGAAATAGGAAACCACGTGCCTCTTCCTCGTGCGATCGCTTCTTCTGCGCCATTTTGTAAAGCTTGTGGAGCTTCCTGGCACCAAACTCCGTAAACTTGGACACAAAAATCCAGAGGTTTCTGCCAAAAGGGGAACAAATAATCATAAGTTAAACAGGTGAGCATCATGATTCATTACACAAAAGGTAATAACCTCTAATCGTCTTACCTCCGCCATATTTTGACATGTTCAGGGTCACTGTAGGCTTTAAGGCACTCTGTGATTCGGTCTCCAATCTTCAGGAGGCATGTGCGGGTGTGCTGGAGCTGCTCCTGGTCAGACAGACCCTCATCTGGTTTATCCAGCTGCTTCAGGGCCTTTTTCACCGGCCTCATGCGCTCCTTACACTGGACACGTGTACAAAGTACTGGTGTTATTGTAATGCACTGCTCGCAAGTTGCTTATCAAATGTCACCGGCTGAAGTCTTTGCATGGGAATGAAAGAAGAGACTTACTTCGCTGAAAGTGTCCTGGTCGAGTTCATCATCGTCGTTTCCTTCAATGGGAACGGGGTCTGACCCAGCCGTTATGTGAACTGGACCTTGAGTCTTCTTCCCTTTGACTGCTTTAGCCTGGAAGACAAAAACAGCACACATAAAGACAAGCAACCCATTTCTGCCATTCATGCCGTCAATGGCTGATTCACAGGACGGTGACAGACTTCATCGCCATGTTCCTTTAGCTACATGTTGCATTTCAATGCTATAATGAAGTACAGCATATAAAACATGATTCCATCAACCTTATATCCATGTAAGTTTGAGAAAAGCACACGTTAAGGTCATAAATACTCTGCTGAAATACCTTCTCTTTTCTGGGCTTGGCACCCTTTTTCTCTTTGTCCCCGTCCTTCTCCTTTTTAGGAGTTCCCTGTTTTTCTTTGTTCTCTTTGTTGTCCTTCTTCTTTTGTCTTTTCTTGGCGGGGGACTTCTCTGTTCCATCATCCTGTTCCAACGCGAGACAGCGTGTGTTAAACAACATAACAGTAGGTCTTACTACGAGTGAGGACTTATCTGGATTTACCTAATCAAGTGGAGCATTGCTCTGCTTCTCTAAAGATAAAGCTGACTTACACGTCTTTGTTAAAGTGGTTACTTTGTAGTTCCCTACTTCACGGGGCCTGACTTATAGTCTGGCGGGTCATTTATCCACCACTGCAATTAAGTTTTTGGTTCAAATCAAACCTCGACACAGAAGCACAACTAAGCCTCCAGACCAGCAGGTGACACCGACCTTTACCTCGCCCTCCTCTGACGGGTTGTCGGACAGGCGGGGGGAGGAGATGTCGTTGCCCTGCTCATCCTTGAGGATCTTGTTCTCCTTTTTCACCCGAGGCTTCCTCTTCTTCACTTTGACCTTTGGAGGAACAGACGGGATGAGCGGTGTGTGGCTGGCAGGTCAAAGGCAAACGGCATGTGGTGAAAACAGTACAGACGAGTCAGCATACCTCCTCCCCTGCTTTAGACAGGTCTGCGTTGTCTTGTTCTTTTTTCAGCAGCTTGAGGAGATGCTCGGCTCTCGCCTGCAACTGCTTTGCCTGAGGCTTCTTGCTTGGATCGTCGGGGAGAATCTGTGGAATGGGAGGTAACTGTTAGACCGATGATTGAAAGAGGTGCTGATTATAGTGCAAGTGCTAATAAGAGGACGGAGGAATCTATCTGACCACAACTTATAAAAACAACATTCTCAAAGCTTTTACAATATATAGAACGGGCTAGTTTTGGTCCAAAAGTACAAAATAAATGTATGCGTTGAAGTCGAGTGTGTGCTTAATTTCTAATATTTCGATTTTCATTCATCTCCGACTTGGTGATAAAGGTAGAAATTAGAGATTTGCCTTGTCAGCGAGTTTAAGGTCAGGATCCGTCTTGATCAGATCCCAGTTGCCAAAGCCGTGCTCATAGATACCAAGCAGGAGCTGGACGTCATCCTGCAGTTCCCAGTCTACATCAAAGTGGGCTACCTTGACTCTGCATGTCAGATTGAACCTTTGGGAAACACATTTGTCAAATGTAATCATTTGTAATGCAACGCCCGTGCTGCTCCTCATCTCTGCAGCGGTATCTTACTTATTTCTCTCGGCAGGATTGGAGGGCACCACTTTGTGCAGGGGCTCAAACTCTTCCTCGTGCTGGATGATGGACTTGGCATTGACCTGCACTCCCGAGATCTTGATGTTAATTCCTCGCCGCTTCCCAGGACCTTTAGCTGAAATAACAACATGCGTGTTTTTTGGGGCCCCGGAAAAAATGCTACGACGTCAAAGACACTCTTACCAAGTAAAACCAACATACCTTCAACTGGGTTCTCTTTAAGGTGCTCCTCGTGCTCCTGCACTGCAGTCACACAACTAGTATGAATCAGTTCACCGAGTCTCTTCAGGTCTGCAATGGATTTGTCAACCAGCTCAGAGTCTCGGGCAATGGCCTCCAACCTGGATACAGAGAGACGCACGTGACTGTTTGAGCTATTACGATGTCTAACAAAGCATGCGATCCAATGATGCAGCCGTACATTTACTGTTAATATCATTTAACAAAGCTTACCTTTCGAGTGGAGATCCAAATTTCTTGTATGCCTTAATGAACCTGTTAATGATATTATAATGAATACATTAAATTGTGTTCACGGAAGGGAACTTCACTGTAGTACAAAATAAAAAGTAAGTACTTTACCTGCGGATCTCTGCATCAGTGAAACCCTCCACATTGTTTTTGCGGGCTCTGGGTCTGCCTCTCTTCTTGGGCTTCCTGTCGTCATCACTGTCATCAGTCTCACTTTCAGAGCCTGAGGAGCGGTTCTTCAGCTTGGATCCCACATCGCTGTCGCTATCATTGGCCCGAGCCTGAAAAGACAAGAGGAACCAGAGCAACACCTTATGACCAGATTCAAACAAGCTGCTGGAAGACAGAAAGCCGTGTAAAGTAGGATTCAGAGATGCAACACTTCATCGTGTCTGTTGCTGAAATGTGTGCACACAAGTTAAAGTCAAGCAACAAAATACATCGGTAAGAATCCTCCTCTTACCCTCTTGTTAGAGCTTCTGCTTCTGGGCAGCATGAAGATGTCGTCCATCTCCCGCTGCTTCTCCTCCTCCTCAACTTTGCGTCGCTGCTCTTCGGGGATGATGTCATCCCATTCCCGTATGGGCCGGTCTGCAAACTCTGGAACGCTCTCCTCCATGCTCGAGAAATTGGCTACCTGCAGCGACACGAGGAGGAAGGACGGGACAAATCAGATTTATGCAAGAGAGGGATCTTTGGATGCTTCACAATAATGCTACGGTATACAAAGAAGTGACAGGAACCTTAAACTGAGATAGAAGTTCATCCGTCGCACTTGAGCCCTGGTCACTTTCTCTTGTTTCAGCCAACCTCAGGATCTCCTCAATATCCATCTCCTACAGGAAGAAATACATTCCAGTTTAACTCCACAAATATGTAACATGTATTTTTAATGCACACAAGATCATTATTTGATGGAATACCTGCGGTTCAGACTCCTCTCCTTCTGCCTCTTTGAAGAGCTCCTCTGCACCAAACTTGAGGATGGCGGTCAGTTCTTCTTTGTTGAATGGGTTTGAACTGGGAAAAAAAAAAAGCAACAATGTTGAACACACAGAGGTTCAGTGTCCAAATATTAAACAACATGATTTCTGACGTCTTACTTTGTGTTTGTGTCCGAGTTGCTGTCAAGTACAGTTCGACCAGTGGTGTCCATCCTCTGGATGACAAGATGGTCCAAAACCATCTTCTTCTTTGCCCTCTCAATGATGTCCTCCTCCACTGTCCCTTTGGTGACCAGTCGATAAATATTCACCTACGAGAGGAAAGCATTGATGTACAACTATCTTCTACATTCTACGTCATATGTACAGTGAATCATTTGGGGCGAACCTGTTTCTTCTGGCCAATCCTGTGAGCCCTGGCTTGTGCCTGCAGGTCGTTTTGAGGGTTCCAGTCAGAGTCAAAGATGACGACGGTGTCCGCTGAGGCCAAGTTTATCCCTAAACCTCCAGCTCTGGTGGACAACAGGAAGCAGAAGTCCTGGAAAACAGATGAAACTGTTAATACGGATCTCATTTAGCAATACACCCACACACCATTTGGAAACGCCGATGAATAATAAGAGCAAAATGGGGAAATAGTAATCGTGAATGAACTGCTGCTGTATATTTGATCCTTTTTACACCATTTATAAAATACATCCTGCAAAAAAATGAACCGTATGTTTGTTTGAAACAGTCATCATCCCAAAAAGATAAGACTCCTCTTTGCAATATGCTAATATTGAACTAAAATAAATTATTAGTATACATACCTCTGAGCCTTCTGCATTAAAGTGGTCAAGGGCTTGCTTTCGTATTTCTCCCTTTATGGAACCATCCAGCCGCTAAGGAGGAGAGAGACAGAGAGAGAAATTGACATGCCATCGTACCCATATGTCTCCATGCTCAGACCGATCACATCACTGTACACCGATGTCAACACCAAGTCAGCAAAAATAACCAAAGTCCAGTGACTTTACGGGAGTTAGTCTGGTCTCCAGCGGAAAACAACTTGTTGATATAAATAACATAACAGGATCTCTCAGCCCGGCGGAGTACATGTGCAACAACACCGACATCTGACCCAACAGCTCCCTGCACTGTAAACACCAATAAAGACAACAGTCATAAACTGTCAGACTAGACACAGTTTCTGGAGATAAGATGATGAGGTTTTTAGAAAATCTGATGGTTTACGAGCTGACAGCACTACATGCTTCATTTCATGGAAAATTTTCAGTAAATAATAATAAAAAAAAGGTAGTCTTAGTACATTTCACAGTTATGTTCCAAAAATCATTTCCTTTTGGCAGAAAACCAATCAGACGTGTCGTACGGAGATGCACAATGAAGCCCTGAAGATGTTCACACCATACCTGGAACGGGTAGCGATTCTTGGCGAGGTATTCAGCCAGAATGTCCAACATCCTGACCATCTGGGAGAAGATCAGGACTCGGTTGCCTCTTTCTCGGAGTCTGGTCAGCAGCTTGTCCAGCAGCACCAGCTTCCCACTGCCCCGCACTACACTCTGGAAAAAAAAAAAAAAAAAAAGGTACAAAGACGGGGTGTCAGGACACATGAAGAAGCACCGAGCCCTCACTTTGGACTAGTTTCCTTTGCAGAGATATCCTGAGGTGTTGCTGGGAGCTAAAGAGGGTTCAATAAGGAGACATACCTGCAGGTGTTCCTGTTGTGTTTCACCGTCTACATCCTCAGGCTGTTTAATGAGGAAACTGTGGTTGCAGCATTTTTTAAGCTCCATAACGATGTTCAGGAAGCCAGAGGAGCTGCCTCGGGTGCCTTTGAAAAGAGCTCGATAGTTCCTCATTAAAATCCACCTGGAAATATTGAGGAACAAATGAAGTTAATGGGGAGGAGAAATGCAGCTACTGTACAAGACACTATGAAAGACTCAAGTAGTGAAAGAAAAAGACAAAAATACAATCATACTTGTAGAACTGTTTTTGCTGTGCAGTCATGTCTACACGGAGAATCTGCTCTACTTTGGCAGGGAGAGATTTCTCCACGTCTTTCTTAACACGTCGCAGAAGGAAGGGCTCGAGGACTTTGTGAAGACTCTGATAACCGTTGTCACTTCCTTTCCCGTGTACATCGTCAAAATCCTCCCAGGAATCAAACCTGTTGTGCACGACAAAGATAACAGACGTCACTCATCCACGGCTAGGAGTCAAACCGATGGGGTTTCCCTGCTTTTCCTTGGGTATCATGTAAAAAAACGTCTAAACCAGGACGTACTTGTCAGGCATGAGGAAGTGCAACAGTGACCAGAGCTCTTTGAGGGAGTTCTGCAGCGGCGTGCCGGTAATGAGGAGCCTGTGGTTAGACCTGAACTCCATTAATGATTTGTACAGCAGGGAGTCGTCATTCTTCAGCCTGTGAGCTTCATCCACACCCAGAAACGCCCAGTTGATGTTCCCAAGCACCCCCTGCAGACAAACGTTAAGCTCCCGTAAGCCGCAGTGATCCGAATCTCTTCAGGCACAGACATACGGCAAAGAAAACCATAAACACAACCGTGAAGAAATGCTGATCCCTGCACCTACCTTGTCTTTGAGCAGAATTTCATAAGTGGTTAACAGTGCATTGAAACGGATTCTTTTCGTTTGATGGTTGACCCACTCGTAGTCACGGATCTACATCGAACAGGAGCAAAAACACAACTTCATGTAACCAACTCTGTAGAGACCACCAGACTTTGTAAGACATTCAGGATTCAACGTACCGATTTCCTGCTCATGACGTCACCGAGGTAGACCACCACGTTCATGTGAGGAGCCCAGGTTTCAAACTCCCTCTGCCAGGAGCTGAGCGTGGACAGAGGCACCACCACTAAGAAGGGTCCGTACATCTGATGCTGGTTAAACAGGTACGACAGGAAGGAGATGGTCTGGATGGTCTTTCCCAGCCCCATCTCATCAGCGAGGATAACGCTATTGCACCTGAGGACGGGGGAATAAAAAGGGGCACTTTTAACAAAAGAAAACAATTTTTCACACATTTTTCAAATTAGGTAATCAAAACCAACCCAGTTATATTACAATACTCATGTACACAGTACCTGCACCAGGAGTGGGCCAACCAGTTCACCCCATCCAGCTGATAATCTCTCAGTTGAAGGTTATCATCTCCAATATACGGCGGTTGCTCCTTCAGAGGAGCGAACCTCGGTCTTTGCTTTAACACCTGAAATGATCGTTAGAAAAACACATTTAACTAAGAGGAGAAAAATTCAGAAACAAGTCATGAAGACTCTTCCATCTTGGGTCATTCCACTCTTACCTTGCAGTCTTTCGAGGGGACGGATTTACTGGAGATTCGGTTCTTGAAGCTGTCGATACAGTGCTGGAACTTCCTTCCAACCAGGGCTCCATCCTCCCAGCTGCACTCTGAATAGGGCAAGCCCATCCACTTGCATAGATACTCCGGCTCATTGGAGGACGTCTTGTGACTGTGAGCTGTTTAATAAAAAAAATCAGACAAATGATTATGACAAAAGTAACATTCAGAACATTTAAAAAGTCAACAGAATGTAACAGTGATGGTAAGAAATCAGCAAATGGACTTACAGGGGAACTCAGTGGATCCTGGTGTCTTCCCTGTTTTTGTTGCTGTTGACAATAAAATTAATTTTAGTAAATCTTAAGTGTAATTAAAAAAAAAAAAAAAAGATGATCTGCTGCACCATCAGACAAAAGCAAATACGTCAGATAATGAATTAGTACCGATAATGCGCTCCACAATCTGAAACTGCTTGTTCAAGTCATATATGAGCTCCATTTGGCAGTTATGAAACTCTACATCCTCAGGAGACACTCTGCTCAACCTACAAACAAGGACAGAACAGACAGTGAAAACCCTCAAACATCAGCAAGACATTCGTATGTTGACGTGAGGACACGTGTTTTTTTTTTACCATGAATTGAGCTCATCTTGTTTCTTTTTGTAGTTGTCCATTTTCTTTAGTCCCTTGACCTTCTGCTGCAGCAGAGTGTCCATGCTCTCCCACGTGTTGTGGATGTAGGACCAGCCCTTCCACTTGATCAGATAGTGAGTCTCCCCTTCATCGCTCTCGGGGTCAAAGCCTTCATTCGGGTCCCCGTTTTCCTGCACGGAATACCCAGTAGTGGTGGCCCCGGTGGCTAGAGGAGAAAAAAACAACAACTTTTAGACATTTTGATGAGATTCAACGGCTTTCAAAATAGAAAGAGTCAAGTAAAAAATGCCCAACCTCCTTTTTTGCCCGTCCTGGTGTCCATAATCTTCTCAATGGTCTCGCTGTCGTCATCCTGCTCCTCCTCGCCTGCGTCCCCCGTCATTTCAATCAGGTCATCAGAGTCCGTTTCAAAGTCATGTTGGTCCTCTTTGTAACTGTGACACAACAGACCCGGGGACAAACATTAGCCTGACGTGCTGAAAACTAAACAACAAGTCCAGGTGGAAAGATTCACTGCACCGGGACACGGATGATAAAACACTTTGGGTTCAGAAATGCACCTTTTGACTTTTGTTGCACCCCTTTTTCGAGTCTGTCTCTTTGGAGTGTCATCGTCATCTTCGTCGTCGTCATCTTCATCATCATCATCATCATCATCATCGTCGTCGTCGTCTTCAGCAGAGGAGTCCTGTTTCCTGGATTTCCTGCTTTTTTGAGACAGTTTTTTGTTGCTTGATGATTTGGTCTGAGGTCTGTAAATCACACAGTCAAGCACAGAAACACACAAACCACTTTAGGAACCAGCCTCCTGGATCATCGTCGCAGTGGTTTTGGGCTCTTTTGGCCGACTGTGTGTGGCAACATTTCTTTACGATTTTGAAAAATGTTTGTATCATGATTGGAATACATTTTACATGTTGTATTTTAGACACCATGCTGCAGGTGTGAACTACTTCAAAGTAAAAGGGGGAACACAAAATGGAATGACTTGGAGATGACCAGTGGGTAGCTGTCTGGCAGCCAGGCCTCGCTACACTCTTACCTTCTAGCAGGAAGTCGTCTGGATCTAACTTTTTTCTCTTCCTGCTCACTGTCTGTACTGTCGGAAGCCTCCTCCTCCTCCTCCTCCTCGTCTTCATCATTTGAGTTCCAGATATTTCTTACAACAAAGAAATGCCACAAGTTCACCCTCAAGGCCCATCACTGCTTTGACCAAATTTTAAATTTCATTAAATACTGGCCATAGGGTGTTTCACCGCAAACCCAATTTGATCAGGGAGGAGCCGATGATCGGACCAATCAGTTTTGATGTAAATGTCAAACCTCGCCTGACTGACTGAAACTAACTGAGCCCATTTTTAACAAACAGATACCCATTTACAAACAAGCTTAACATGATAACAATCACAACATGAACACAATGACAAAAACAGACATGAGTTGTGCAAAACTACGGTATGGACCGAGTGCTAAATAAAGACAATCTTGCTAAAAAAGGAGTTTCTCAAGTGTCTCAACATGGCAGAATTGAAAGAATAAGGGGCTGCAACATGAAATTAAATAATAATAAATACCCAAAGATGTTCTCAGTCTTCACACTTACTCTTTTTTTTTAACTCGGGATTTTCTCTTGGGACTCTCACTCTCAGAGTCACTGCTCCCCTGTAAATACAGTCAGAAGAGCTTTGTTTCCACATGAACCGTAGCAGCACTTCTTCACAGCGTCCACTAGGTGGCACAAGAGCCTTGTTGATGCCAATAGATGGTAAAAAGCCAGGCCATGGTGAATATCAGTATTCTTTATCTTTATTGTTTCAAAAACATCTGCTTACCCCAGCGCCGATGTTTAAACGAGCCGGCTCCTGTCTACTGCGGTTTGACCTCCTGACTCCATATACATCTGGATGTTCGTCCCACATCTGTAAACGGAGAGCGACTGCTATCAAGAGAGCCGCTGACTTTCTGTACCACTTTACATATGTCATGCCCGATTATAATTTGTAGGAATGTGCGATCAGGCTGCAAATACTCGTTTCATTATCTGACTCTCAATTAATTGATTAGTCTATGAAATACTGGAATATAGTGACAAATGTCCCATTCAGTCAGAGTCCACGGTGGCATTTTTAAATGTCTTACTTTGTCTTTTTTAGAGTTTACAAGTACATAAAACAGAGAAAACATTCACAATCAAGAAAGCTTTAAATAGTGATATTTTGTGGCTCTTATGCTTACAAAATGACAATGAAATTACAAATCAATTGTCAAAAGAATTGCTTGTTATGTCTTTTGCAGCTACCTCGCCACCAGCTGCTACCTACTAGCTGCAGTCTAACATGGACACAAAGAGGGAAGTAAGAACCGTGGCTTAAAACTACAAACGTCTTGCATTTCAAACCTTCCTAATGACATTAAGAGCCCGATTAAACAAACAAAGTTGACAGGAAACAGCTTTAGAAACAGGAAGCGGCCACAGGAGAGCTTTCTGCAGCCAGGTGACCTTTCACCTTTACCTTCTTCACATCTGCCAGTCGCTCCTTCTTTCTAACTGGCTTGTCTTTCACTCCTGCTGTGGTTTGCTGTGATTTGGACTCTGCAGACTCGCTCTCGGACTCCGAGTGACCCTGTGACTCTGAGGAGCTGTTGGACTCGGAGTTGTGGGATCTCCTCCTCTCACTGCCATGCTCGCTCTCCGACTGACTCGCCGACTCCGACGCAGAGCGGTTGGATTCCTCTGAGGCCGAGTTGCTACAGGAACAAGAACACGTTGATTCTTTTCCATTTTGAAAAGTGCATTTGTTGAGCTCCATTTTACACCAAACAACAATTCTGTACACCAAACAACACGTGTGAGTAGAGTTGTGGCAGCAACTTAAAAAGAAATAAACTCAAAGTGCACACACTCTCACTGAGACATGGAGAAGAGCTTGATGGCATGAGTGAATGGTGGCTGTCAGCTGAGAGGAAACAGAAACCTAATTACATCATGCAGCATCTTCTTTAGTCCGCTTACAGACGTATAATAAGCTCATTCCCTCTAAGGCACACAAATCTGCTTAGTCCTTTTGAAAAGACGGACTTTTATTCAGTAAATTACCGAGTTAAAACTGAGTTTAACACCTCATCGCTGCTTTGAGCGGGGACTTAGTGCAACAATATTTCCTCTCTGCTAACCTACATTGATATAATAAAGTGAAATAGAAAGAAAAGGACAACACAGTTAACACTTAAGAGCCAGACTCTACGAATCTTAGCTGATGACTCCTTAAACTGAAGCAGTGTCTACTTGTGCCCCCTCGTCACAGGTTACGGCCTGAGTTCAATAAGTGTTGTGAGAATTTAACATAATTCAGATTGAAGAGGCCTGAAAAGCACGACGTATTCAGAGTATCACAAGAAAAAGGAAAATATTAAAGAAAAACAATTTTTGTAATAGAAAAAAAGTAAAAAATAATCTTTATCATATTATGACCCCTCAGATTTGTCTTAGGTCTCCTCCAAACCCCCTCGTTGCTAGCAAACCACCATCACAACATGGGGAGTTTTCCAGATAAAAACTCAAAACAAGATGGAACATGTCGAGGGGTATATCCTGATGCAATTAAGTTCAAATTTGAAACAAAAGTATACATTTTGTAAACTATAACTCTATTAGCCTGTATCTGGTATGACTATATGTTAATGTTATGGGGGGGAATCGATGGATAAAAGCTCTCCTGTCTGGGTTTCTCTGTGTGCAGTACCTCGTCTGGACACATGGGGGAGCACTCACTCAGTGTAACTCACTGCCTCACATGGATCTCTTTGGAGAGAGATGGGTTTATGTATAACTCAGAAACACATTTGTGTACATTTTTGATTGTTGTCTCATCTATTGTTTGTTATTTTTTAGAACAAAATAATTCACATGTGTCTTACTGTGTATAGAATGACCATGACTGTATTCTGACATTGATAAAACAAAAATGTAATGCAATTCAAATCACTCCGACTGGTGTTAAAGTAAGTATTATGAATGAGTTACTAAATTTCACAGCCTGCAATAAGCAGCAGCCTCGATTGCCTAACTCGGAAGTGCATGCCTCCTTCCGCTGTAGATGAGGTCAACAGTGGGCGGGACATGGAGAAAATCTCGAATTATCATTGGCTGGCGTGTTACTAGGTGGAACTCTAGCCTATTAGAGCACAGTGTGCAGGCCTTTAAACGTCTGAACTCTTCCTGTTCCTCCTCCGTGTAGTTCTGAGCTTTAATACAGATAAGTGAGCAAGCTGGGCCCACAAAGCAAGGGCCATTTTGTGACTCAGGAGAGCATGTGAATATACATTTATATGTATATAGCACTTTTATAATAATTAATGTTGCATTGAGTCAAAAGAGTTGCTGTTCTTTCTGCTGCAGTGCATGCCCACAGTGTTCATCTAGCAGTCTGTAAAAGTTAGGCTGTCATCAGTAGCAGAGGACATATTTCACACACACACAGACACACACACACACACACACACACACAGCTGAAAATACCAAAATGGCTGCCACAAGATCACACAGAAAACTACAAGTGCGATGTAACCTGCTGCAGTGTACAGTCAGTAATATGCTGTGAGGGTGATTACCTGCATTTAGTATCCAAACTTCTCTGTGTCTTTATCTAAAAACACAACAGGCTATTGTGATCAGGCTGCATTATTTATTGTGAAAACATGGCAGCAATCCTAACACTAAGAATGTATGTTGGGCCACAGCATTTATGCAATAAACACAAACATTTAAAATAAGAATAGTAATGGCTGGCCACTTGTGCAGTTTCTGAATTCCTGCACTGTTGTGACACCACGCAAATGCACCCGTTATTAGTTTTAAAACACATCTTTATTGATGAAAATAGAGGTGTTTCCACTCGTTTTGATATTTGAAGATTCAGATACCTGAGGATAATGAATACACAAAGTTTTACCATCTTCCTAAAAAGAAAAGCAGACAATACTGTGAAATATATATATTTAAGTGTCAAGACTCTTGGCCATAAGCACTTAAATATAATCCACCTGTCAAGTAATACAAATGAAGCCAGATTTAAACACAACAGTGTTATTCTGTAACATTCACAGGCATCAAACAGGTTCAACTAACACCATCAATATCCATAAAGCCAATATTAATACAAGAAGTGCCTTTTAAACATATCTGATGACAGTAAATGTGTGTTAGGGGCCATCAATGAATTAAATATCTGGCTTGACAAGTGAAAGCAACCATTCAATATTCTAATAATAAACATTTGATTTCAGAGAAATATTTAAGACTGAAATAGTTCATAAGGCCCTAAAACTAAAGTAAAATCAACCTTCTCCTGAAAACATATGTTAGATAAGCATGTAAACTTTGACACTGTCATAATACACAGAGAGTAAAGTAGTTTTAAGTTTTGCTATCCATCTAAAACAAGAGAAAATTATATAAAAAGGCATTAAAATGTTTGAGATGAAGGGCTTGAATGAGCTGGAGTGAGTATAAGCTCACTTGGATTTCTTAAAACTCTCTAATTTGGTCAAAACTACAGGTCCAGATAAAAGCTTACAGATTGATGTAAAAAAAAAAAAAAAAAAAAAAAAAAAAAAAAAAAAAGTAAATTAAAGCAACATGCAACCTGATTTAAGGCCAAAGGAGTAATGACAAATTATGTTATATATAACACATCTTAAAGACTGACCATGAGTGACATCAAAGCAAAACATTGTGTGAGAAATAAATAAAAACCAAAGCAACAACGTGGATAAAATGGTGCAATGCAGCAACAACTAGTTAGACAAGGTCGTTACATGAAACATCTGTGACGGACCATCAGAACATAAAACAGGACAGATGTTTACCTGTGGTCTAACACTGAACATGTTGAGGGCAATGATCTCTTAACACAGGCCTGGAACCTCAGTATTGAGTGTAAGAAATGGTCAAATCAGGGTGTGGCTGTTAAACAATAGCAAGGTCATTCGTGACAGTGGTACACTTCTTTAAAACCACGTCGCACACACACACACACACACACACGATCAACCATGCCTGACATGTAAACAATCACAGCAGATATGAAAAGGGTATAAAATGTATAAGGATCATACCTTGATGCATTGCTTTGAGTCGATGCTTCCTCTTCTTGTTTTTTACTTTTATTCTTCATCATGGTAGTATCCTGAAAACCTTTTTGGTAGGATGATCTTTAGTCCTGGTATTTACTGTCAAAAAGTTAGAGCAAGCAGGAACTATCATAAAAGTCCCACAAGACAGCCTGTGCTCCAGTGGCAGTAAAAACCGCAGGCGGTGCGACACGAGTAAGAAAAGGGCATTAAATCCAAAGATTTGAGTATTATTACTTGTATCGCTAATTTAAAATACAGCTAAGAAATATGAGAAATGCTGCTATAATAGGCTTAATATCCGACGTGAGTCCTTCAATACACGGATCAAGCCGCATGCAATTAATTATAACTGCGTCATCACACGAAGGGGTTAGAAAAGCAACATTTAAGGACGAAACAAATCCGTTAATTATAAACTACACAATGTAAACAGACCGATTCAATGTGAAGAAAGGCTGTAACCTATAAATGAACTATTAGATTCAATCGGTTTTTTTTTTTATCCGACTCGAATAAAAACAGCAAGCTGTGAAAAAAAGAATAACTAAACAATAAATTAGAAATAAAACAAAAATAAGCTTTGGTTCGTAAAAGCTTTAAGGCCTTTAAAGTCTCTGCTGTCAGGCTGAGAACGACAGAGAGCCGCTCAGTAAAGATGGAGGCGCCATGGCTGCCAGAGCTCAGTCTGGAAAACAACGACGAGCAGCTCCCTCTGCACACGGCTCGTTCAGCTCGACAAAACGGCCCAAAAAACACGCGAAAACGCCCAAATACGCGATAAAACACCGATCGTATGAACAGCACTTTAATTTTTTGTCAGAATCGAGCGGTCTCCGTCGAAAAACGGCCGAGAGAAACGGTCTGACGAAAGCCCATGGCACCCTTCCCAAGGCTCAGCCGCCATCTAGAGCTCCTTCCTAGCTCTGAAAGCTTCGCCTTTGATTGACGTTATTTCCATTTACCCCCACACTCAGGTGATGTTTAAGTCCCACCCCTTTTAATACATTTAAAATGTGCTTTTATATATAAACTTAACGGTCATTTAAAGCCCAATACCTGAGGTTGAGACCTTTACTTCCAACTTCGTAAAAAAAGTACCAATACTGAGAGGTTTAAAAGTATATAAATTGGGGTTGCACCAATTGCATCACTTCCTGCTCAGACAGGAAAAAGGATAACCAGGGGCCATTTTAGAGAGCCTTTGGAAACCATTTCAGTTCAGACAAAATCCTTTGTTGAAGCTTGCTAAATACAAAATGTGTGCGTTTTAATGGATTAAGCGAAGACTTTCCGTTGGGACTGATTGGAACAGACTCATTTTCAAGCACTTTCCCTTTATCTCAATAATCGAGTGATAATGTTTCTTCGTAGAACAACGCTCGAATAAGAGAGCATTACTTCAGGAGACTCATCAACCCAGGACGAAGCTAATGCTAATCTATGAATTAGCAAACATTGATAGTGCTAACCAAATTAATTTGTTGTACGGATTAGCGGAAATATTAAAACCAAGAGCCAAGCTAAAGGACTTCAACGTTAGCCAAATATTACGCTCAATGTCCTATTGTGATTTTCTGTATAATTAGTTAGTGAAACAAAGCCAGGAAAAAAAATATGAGGAAATACACTTTATTTAAAAACAACATTTGAAAATCAAATGTACAAAGGCGGATTTTGCGTTTCCCAAAAATAACAGTGTAATTTTTCAAAGTCCGCTATGCAGCCAGCAACAGTGTCCATGTTGTCGTAAAAAATAAAAATCCAAACGTCAAAGTCCAGTCCAAAAAAAAAAAAGGTTTCATCGTGTCAAATTTTGGCTAACTGCCAAATCACTTTTCCATCTTCACGTTAAACAACGCTGTCTCCACTTCAGCAATATCCAGTTGACGTCTTGATAGGACAAAAACAAGAAGGAAACAATGTGAGGCCACAGTGCAACTGAAACCAGCAATGATTCACTGTCCAGCAGTTAAACAAGGCTCGCTAAACTAATACGCTCATTAACATTCATGGCTAGATTTCACATGCGTTGGCTAACATTAAGAATGTGCACATGTCATTCTGAAAAATGAGTTTGACCAAGTGCAGTTAATTCTTTTGAAACTAAATTGCTATTCTCTTAAATGTCATCACATCGACAACGTATCGAACATGTTGGCAGGATGTCGCATATAGGAATTCTTGTTACGAGGTTGCACAGTGAGAAACAAGCCGTACGGGTAATGGAAGATCTGTCAAACTGTTGTAAGGCTCTGGATTGACAGTTTGGTGGATTCAAAGAAATCCGCAGAATGAAGTCCGAGTTGAGTAAATGCGACAACAATTTTCAAATAAATTCATCAACTGACCAACAGGGGTGTGCCGAGTCGAGAGATAGCCTAATTCACAACATGCAATTTGCATAATTCTGCAACAACAGTAATGTTCAAATAAATTACGATCAAAACACTGGCATGTGAGGAAACAACGCTGTATGCTAATTAGTATCCATATAGCCGTAAATGAAAAAATATTTACCAAAGTCATCAAAGCTAATTCATGATCGACCAACATTATCGCATCCAATAAAAGCAACCCTTCAAAACAGCAATTTCACACATCTGCTCAAAATCAGAAAAATAAATACCCTTGTAGCTATAGGTGTTGAAATACAGCATTAAGACAAAGTTGTTACACAGCATCGGCCATGTTTTATCCTTTTAACTTTAAGGCCAATAACCTTTCAGAGATCTTAGCAAAGACAGATGATATAGAAACTCCTGGAGAAAGGTGGGCTTTCTGTAAAGTACCAACAGGAGGCAATGCAGTCAATGTCCACATAAAGCCACAGTAAAAATAGCGTACATTATTATTAATAATGGAAGTAGCCACATAATGAAAATTGTTACGCATGTACTACCATAAAGTTACATTTACAAAATGACTGTTACTCTACCTGCTGACATCTTAAGTCTTTTGCTAGCTTTTAGAACTAAAAGTGAATAGTAGCAATAAATAATCAAGATAAATGATGGGTACAGTGTGTTGTACTCAACCTATCTGAATGGGATATCGGTAACATTTCCCCGAGAGTCAAATTTTCTATTCATTATATTAATGAGCTCAGTTAATAAATACTTAATTCAAACAAAGAAAACTTACAGAGCTGTCTTCTTTTTCTTCGAAATTCGAAAATCTTCACACCATGTCTTCAGGTATCCGCTGTGGAAAAGATAAGAAACGATTAATGATACCCATATTAACCCACATCAACACACAGATAGAGCCACTCTGTGGACCACGCAACGTGATTGGCGCTCAGGTCTTCGGATTATAAATGTTCTTCGCAACCGACTAAAGATGACGGCCAAAACCAAAGTTTTCCAGCATACAACCATTTGAATGTGAGGAATGAGTTCATCTCAAAACACCGCAATAACTATAGATCAATATCTGATGTTCCATACAGCAAATGTTTTTGCTAGAAATTGATTTTAAAAAAAACATTGTTCTTTTTTAAACAGAAACCAAAGTCTTTGACTTTATTGAAACCTTCAATACTGCAACATTCTAGATGACTGTTGCTAAAAAGACTTATTGTAAGCCTATTGTTGTGCGGGTTACACCAACATTGTGAGGTTTTTTTTTTTAAAAATCGAATCTTTCTCACAACAGAAGAAGCGATGCCAGTATGACTTAAGTCAGTGAAGCAGATTTAACGAAATGCAGCCGTGAACCCAACGTGTCTCTCGGTGGGGTTGGCTGTTCTTGTGCTGTGTGGTGCAGTTATCTGCTCTTGGGAAACTCATCTCAGAGCGGTCACATGATTGCAAAATGAAAACCGTTTTTTGTTTATTCTCAAATCTACCAAATACATTTTCTCAAATTAAGAAAATCATATTGCTAGCTGTATGGTTTTGCGTTTATGTTCTTTTTGGGGAAAGTCTTGTGTTGTAAGGACTCCTGACAGTTTCTACAGCTCCTTCTAAAACATTGGAAAAAGAAAACGAATGAAAATATAAATTTGAAGAGGGCAGCCAAATAATTTAGTTTTCTAGACTCGGAGCAGCTTTCTATTGTTGTTTTGTTTGGGAACGTGCATAGAAAAATATTTAGTTTTTCATCTTCAGAGAAGATTGAATGGACTGTGAATCAGTGTAAATCTTTTGCTGTACATACTGATCAGAATGTGTTAAGACATTTCTCACGTTCATATTTAAGTAGAAACGTTTTTTGCAACGCTGTTCCTTTGGAAGCAAATATCATTGCAGCTGCAAACGAGGTTGTGATTAACGAGGTTGTGATTTTCATTTGGATGAAATGAAGGCGTTGTCTGAGAATGGTGTCCAGGTGTCACATCAAAAGCACTGGCACGAGGAAATAATGAACAACGCAGATAAATGCACCCCATGTCCCCTATTATTAAACGCATTTTGGACAGATGGATATTAAAATAACTAATGTGGCTGTTGTCATGATGCCGGCTGTGGGTCACAATTAAAATAGCCCTTTTAGAGTGCAACTGCCAAATTAGCAAATCATTCTTCTACGATTACTTTGGCAAAATGCCACCAGTTTGCTAACTTACTACATGTCATCAAAAAATGTTAATGTAATCGAATTGGGATAGTTTGCACAGGTTGTCAAACTATTGACAGATGTGGCACCATGAGCGATGTTTAGCATCCAAAGGCCGACTTATACTAGGTGTCTTAGTACAATTCTTTAATTGGAGTAAAACTCTAAAAACGACGAATGATTCCGGGTCAAAGGCCGCATGTCAAGTATCGTCACACTGGCGATCGGACGCATCGAGTTTACTTCTCGCCGAGGAGTCACAGTTAATGGCCTTTTCGCAAACAACGCGCTCTAAAACCCAACGTTTCCAATGGCTTGCGCTACACCTCAGCGGCATTTCGCTGCCTTGAGCAAAGCGTGGGCCCACTCGCCGAGCAAGTGATCGACCTTTGGGTGCAGAAACCGCGTGCTGTTTGAAAATGTCATGGTTTTAACTATGATTGATGAGCACAATGTGATGATTTTCAGTTATGATAAAAAGAATAGAAAGATTTTACGGTTAGCTAGCTAGTCGAAAGACCATCATTAACATTGTACATATCTGAATGTTATTTTTAAATAACTGAATGTTTACTACAAAAAAATACACAAAGGAATCAGAACTGGATGCATCCTATGATTTTTATCACGTTTCAGAAGTGTGCTTAACGTCAAACTTTTTTAATGATATGCCAAAACCCCAAGTGTCAAAGTATTGTACACGTCATTAGATTAATTTACATAATTATTTTAAACCAACTACGTAAATGTCTCTCTCACGGTACGGTTCTTAATCACTTACACATTTTTTATTAATATGTGAATACTTGCCACATTATACACTAGGGGGCAGAAATTACTTTTAGTCAAAAGAAACCGTGATAATACAAAAACAAAATAACACGTAGTGTTAAGCTGTATTTTTAAATAATGACATACACATAAGTGAAAATATACACTATTCACTCTGTTTATTTGGTTATGTATGGGTTAAATAAAGTCAGTAAAAAAAAAAACGTCAATTTGATTCGACAAATTTGAAGAGCTGAATGCACAGATAACATGCAAGGAATTTACTGAGCACATTTAATCTATTTTAAAACATATACTTACAAATCTCTGTTGCAGTGCGAATCTCCCGCATCCTTCGAGTCACAGCTCAGTGATGGTTAAATGTCAACCCCCTTTAAAAAGATAAAATAACGGTTCAGAGAGGAGACGTGACAGCAGCACCCCCTACTGGCTACACGTATGAAGCAGTAAGGACAATGGAGCTGGTTAGTCGGGTTAAACGGTACATACCATTTAGCTCGGATCAGATGATCCCTTTTCTGCGTTGACGGACATTTGCTAAACTTCAAGGGAATCCCTGCAAAAGACAAAAACATGATTTATTTTAGTAGTCGCAATTAACAAAAATCGCAACATGGGTCAGCATAAAATGTGAAATTTAATAGGTTATTAGTTTTAAGATTATTTTTGAGAATGTTTCAGGGCTCATTAAGATATTAAGAAAATTCTAAATAACTCGTAGCATGTGTAGTTGGAAAAATGTTTCATCTTTGTGCGCTTTGGCGACACAAAATGGAAGTAAATTAGTGTTAAAATGGGAACCTCCTACTCAGGATAGACATTTTGTTATGTGCAGGGTGGTAGTAATCCTTTGGATTTAGCAATATAGCTTAAGATGTAACAATCTGTTATAAAAAGATTGTATGTTATCTGTTTTAGTATCTACCGTCACATGTGGATAAATCCACAACCTTGTCCGCGAGACTGTGGTATTAAAATGTATTTATTTCTTTATTTAACATTAATACAATATTTTGAGTTTCCTCAAATTCTAACTGAAGTGTGGCTTTCTAACATAGAAGTCTTCCTTTACATGTCTTGCCGATGTTAATGTAAATGGGAAACAAAATGAATGTACATATTTAAATTATTCTCCATTCAGTGTGATAAAGGGTTAAAAGCCAACACCCTATTTTGTATTTCGAAGTACATCTAAGCTTTTATCACATACAGAACCTTTATTTGGCAAACAAAGCAAGTATAGTTTAAGTATCGAGTCTACAATAGACGAATTCTTGACAATAGTCATATTTAGAGCATTTTGGCAACTTGTCACAATTTATTTATAATCTATTTATAATTAACAACTATTTAGCATCCAACACTTTCTTAAATATGGTTAGAAACTACAGCTATACACTCAAATCACAAATAATGTAAATTATCATCAATTTTTTTATATTTTTTTGATGTACAATCCGAGGAAAAACCTCAAAAAACTAATTTACTGAAAAGAAATTAAATAAAAACGCTTCATCTGGAAGTGTTGGTGGCCACGAGTCTCAATACAGCGTTTAAAAGAGTAAACGATGGCTGCACGAGACGTTTATGTCGAGTAAATTCAGACACGAGCATTTGCCCTTTTCAAGGACAAAGCACATTTTAAATGCGTAGGTTGAAATAACTCCAAACAGGTGGAGAACAAACGTGCCTGTCAAAGTACTAACCACGTTAACTCGAAGTAGAGCGAGCAAACATGCAATTTCCATGAACTAAAACACAAATAAATGCAGTTAACGCTCTCTGGGCCGGTTTTTGTGTTCTTCGCTGAGAACACACCATGGCCATTTTTTACAACACTGCGTCTAACTGTCGTCCTATCCACCATTTTGACGAACACCCGAGTCGTATTTTAACAGCTACAAATGTCTTGATTGCTCGTTAGTTCTTACCCATGTCTCAGGCCGTGGCTACCCGCCGTCATCTGCCCGGTCTTCTGTCGTCTTTTTGGGCATTTTTAGTCGTTTTGGTGGGTCTTTCGGCCGCATCTTTTCCGCCCTTCCTCTCCTCTGTTCTCGACGCCTCGCTCCTCTGTAGTGTGTGTCCTCCTCGCTCCCTCTGCCTGAGCTCATATCCTTCAGCGGCTCTGCCCACTTTGCGCTCAACGTAAGCCAAACTCCACTTCCTCTCCAGCCCCATCCAGCTAACTCCAGCAGCCTATACTGAGCCTCAAAAAACCGCCGAAACTCTTCTTGCATTTAGCTGAGCCCAAAACTATAACAAAACATAAAACAAAAAGTGGCATTGACAACACTTTATGGAGGAATATGAACACATTAAAACAAAACTGTTATTGTCATCAACCACGTGACCCACTGATATGAAACTATTTGTAAAGAAAAACATCTATGTATTTATAAAACAGTGATACATAGTAATATATTTAGATACTTGTTTAGTGGTATTGCTGTAAATATGAAGATAAATGCATATTAGAAAAACACATTTTCCTCTGTACACTGGTCCAGTGTGCCTGTTTTCAGACTAAATAATGCCTTTCCTCAAAACACCTATATTATGAACGTAGTAGGCCTAAGGCCTTCTTGAAACACGATTGATAAGGAGAAAGATAGTGTATTGTAAATGCAGATCTGTCAATAAATTATCAATAACATGTTTATGGTTTATGTAGCCCCATAATTCAGACATCAGGCTTAGTTCCTGATAGTGACGTAGGCTACCTGACTATGATGACCATGTCATGGTAATGAAGGAGTGATAGGGGCCGTGCATCATTCCATTTTGGAGTGAAATATGCCATTTTTAAAAATGTTTGCAGCTCTATTACAAACCTATACAAACAATTCATCTGAAGTAAAACTGTACAGCTGCCTCCTTAAGGCTTCTCTAGACTCTGGATAATAATAACTGAACGTGAACGCCTGCCTTGCTTGTGACGAAATCAATTGAGATTGCATATATCATTTGATTTAACTAAAAAAAAAAAGTTTGAACACAGTCTAATGGGGACAACCAAAATTAGCAAACGTTGGCTGTTCAGTCAGTGCAGCCTTTCATGGACAGTCCATGGAGTCTGTGGTATGCACTCCACCCCCATCACCGACCAATGAGATGTGTGCAACGACAGCGCATGCTCTCTGCAGAGGAAGATTTCCTTAAAAAGAGCTTCAGCCTAGCAACAAGAGAGCCCTCTCTGCAAATGCAATTCCAGACTAGTAAGTAAAGTCAACACAGTCTTGTACTGACTGGCTGGTTGGATCGGTTTGAACAGGGAAGTGCTTACCCACCAGATCCCAAAATAGTGTCTTTAACCTTTAAGTCACCTGAATGTTGCAATCTCAAATTGTACTTTTACAGATTGAGAATTGGAATAATTGGCACTGTTGTTGCAGCACACCGCTTAGTGAATATCAATAAGAATGCAATACAATACAATGTTACTGTGTTAGGACTTAACTGAAGTCGCTGCAAACAAACACACAGGTTGCCATTTTATAGAGAAGAAGACTCCAGTTAGTAGTCAGCAGGGAGAGCTTTTTTATTGGCCCCTTTATATACACAATAGTATGACTTACAATGACACATAAGCACACTCTGGACTGGCACTCATCTGCAGCGCAAAACAAGTCTTTGTCAGAATGGGAAGGCAGATGTGGAGCCATTTGTTTTGTTGAAAGAATAGTAGCCTTTACTGTTGCAGAAGGGTGTGCCTTAACAGCACTAACAACAGGCAGGGTTGCATTCATGGCTGTTGTATTTCAGGTCTAAGCACGTACACCAGACGTCAATTTACACTGCAAATTACCTTTAACAGTTGACATAAGAACAGGTCTGCTACGTTCTTATGTTTGCTTCTTTAATTAGCGGGACAAAGGATTCAGTATACTGGTGTGGTCATGTTGTTCCACAAACAGCGGAGATTAATGGTGAGGCATGTCCAGGACTTATATGGCTTGGAGGGACTAGAGTATCAAGTTTCAAATGACTCAAGTATACTCTTCATTGAATTTAACACAATAAACATATATGTATATATATATATATATATTGACAAAAAACTAAACTAAATACTAAATATCACAGCAGTGCATCATTTCCAGACAGTTTCAAATGTTCAAAATGTATTTCCCTTATTTTCAGGGTATATTCAGTACAAAAAAATTGGCTCGTTAATTGATTTCCTTTTCAACTATAAGGCTTATACATTCACTCTTAAACAATAAATTAACTAACCGTTTTCCTCTCTGCACTTTACACAAAGAACCCGAACATTGAACATAAGACATTTTACTTAACCTGCTAGGTGTTGCATTTGTATTGTAATAATATATGTCGGTTGTCCTAACTGTGTTTAATTGCAGCTAAACTGAATAGGAAGTGTAAAAAAACAAACTGTGGCGTAAACCAGTTAAAAGCAATGTAATCTGATCACCGTGGTCACATTCAGAGCTGCTTCTCTGTGCAAAGTTCAGGCCGTCCTCTCAGAATGTGACAACCCCCTTTAGCTTCAGATCTGTATCTTCCCCTTGTGAGGACGAGGGAAAATGTCCTCAATAAGAAATAAAACTCTTTGCAAAATCATACATCAACATAGTGCATAGGTACTATATGACTGTGTGCATGTTTGTGTTCAGTATGTTTCTCCCTTCCTCTCCCGCTTCAGGTCCTGTCCTTAAGGCCCTCTCTTACCAGTCAGTGCTGAATTTTGAACTGTGCGTTGAAAGAAAATGCATGTTGTTGTTTTGTGCTGCCATCTAGTGGGCTTTGATCAGCTCTCACATGCAGGAGAGGATTTTAAAGGGGCCAGCACTCCCAACAGTAGGTGTACAGAAATAAGATCAGACATCAAAACAGACAAAACTACACAGGCTGTCTTTGTATTCAGATTAAAGGTTTGCACACTGTGAGGGATTTCAGAAGTAATGTTAACGGCAAAGACCGTACCCACTAGCCACTGAAGGGATTATTTTGTGTTGGTCTACTTTTTCAAAAGGACAATGTAGACTGTAAACCCACGAGTCCAGTGGAAATATAAATGGAGATAAATCATAAGTCGTGGCTCTCTGTCTGAGTGAGTGAGACAAGGACAAAGATCTATTTTGTGTTTGCGTTAGGCCTATATATTAGGACATTACTGATCGATTGATTGCTTATCAACATCTTGGCTGGTCAAGATTTTCCCTTGGATCTACAGCCCTGACCCAAGAGTCTGCTGCCCTTGGGAAATTTGTGTTTGCTGTGGCCCAGGGGAAAACAAAGAAATGCTGCCTTCAGATGCTGTTGGAAATTTGTCCTTTACCAGTCAACTCCAAATGTGCAGAGAATGTTAGACTGAATGACAGCCAAGCCTTTAGGATGGGATGTGCGCACTCTGTCAAAAGGTATTGTAGTATTTAGAATTTGTAGACGTAAGAATTAGTGCTATTTTCCATGTTTTGTCATTATACATAAAATAATCTATTACGACACTATTGGCTGGCGTCTATGTCTAGCTGTGTCTCTTCTTCTGCAAAGGAAACAATGCAGTGATATGCAAGAGATCCAAATATAAGACTCTAAATAGAGCCATGTCTAGCATTGATGACACCAAGTTTACGTCCTGATGTTTGAAAGACACACGTTGGACATATGTGTTTAAGCTTACTGCAATACTTTTGACTATTAATTCATAATATCTGTATCACTGATATTAAAAAATTAAATCAGCAAATGTAGTTTTTATTCCCCTGAATTGTATTCCTGGTAGTATGTGAAACTTCAGTTTTTCCACTTTATACTTCTACTCCCCTACATTTTAGCCAATATTGTACCTTTTACTTCAATACATTAGATAACTCCACTGCATACCATTAGTTATTAGTTACTTTGCAGATTTGGATTATTAATATGGGGCGGCTGAGGCTCAGAGGTAGAGCGGTCCCCAGCTCCTCCAGTCCTTGGGCAAGACACTTAATCCCAAATTGCTCGCTTAGGCTGTGCCTTCGGTGTGTGTGTGGGGTATGAATGAGTTAGTTAGTCCTGATGGGCATGGCAGCCCCTACCATCAGTGTATGAATGGGTGAATGACATGTAATGTTAAGCGCTGTAAGTGGTCGGAAGACTGAAAGGTGCTGTTCAAGTACAAATCCATTTACCATAATACAAAATACAAGTCAACAATTGCATTCTGATGTATTATTATGGATTAAAGCTACCTGGCGGTTTACAAGAATACAATACAATACAATACCATAAATATAATAATTAGTCCCAACTTTACCATGATGCTTACATATTAATGCATTACCAATTATAATCCAATGATGCTAAAAGGTATACGTATGTACTTTTACTTAAGTAAGATTTTGAATCCAGGAGTTTTACTTGTAACAGAGTATTTCTACAGTATAGAAATACTGCTATATTTATAAAAGTAGCCTAAAATATATGAGTCTCCTCCACTGGGTAGGGTCAAGTCTTTTACTTGATATCTAAACGTAGCATTATATTATACTACATGATGTTATATTACATTATAGTCTATTTGCTTTAAAAGCGTAATCAAACATAAGCCACTAAAAGAAATAGTCGACTGAATCTGCCAACATGTTCTTCTGTGTTGACAGCAGGTCTGCAGGTGTTAGGAAGTACGAGGCTACAGTGAAGGCAGCACCAACCCACACGCTGCTCCTCTTCAGCACCGGGATCAGTGGGCCAACCTGCAGAGCTCTTCCGGAGGCGGATAATCCCCATCTCTACCCTCCACACAGCCCTAATGCTATCAGGAAGAGTTGCGGTCACTCACCTCAAGGGAAACACGTTTTGGAAGCGAATGCAAGCTACGGCCTAGAAGTCCACCATTAGGAGAAGCTCGGAGGAGGAGGGAGATGGATATTAGCGTTTCGCATTACTGTGTGAATAGCCAAACCTGCCAGTGATAAGCCGATTCTCCATAACATGACAGCTGCTGTCGCATTTCATCCAGATCGGAGAAACTACTGAAAGAACACCCTGCTTGCTTTTTATTATTGTCATTATTTCGGCACCATGGTGACATACAATCTAATATTAACTTTCCTCATCGCGGCTCTCTGGCGGGTCGGTGGCGAACCACAAACTCCGTCTTCACCTGCGACGCAGTTAAATTCGACATCATCGTTGGTGGCCAGCGAAGATCAAGAGCTGACACACAATGTCACAGATACCGGCGGCGTGGGATCCCGGATTTCATCTCTAATGACGCATCTTCCAGTTCTGAAAAACATTGTTATTTTCATCTGCGTGCTAACAGCTGTTCTCATCACATGCCTGGTCATCAAAGTGGTCAGGTGGGTCAGGGTCGATCTCTTCTATTAGACGGTTCTATAATAAGCAGCGTTGCAATGATGCAGTCACAGTTTGGTGACCACGGTATGAATGTCGCTCTTTGTAGTGTTTCTGGTAAATTCATCGATTATTGTAGGAGCACGTGGTTGTGTTCGGTCTGGGCCTGTTAATAATATTCCTTCTAGTGTGAAGGCACTAAGCAACCTGATGGTGCTTCATGTGGGCTATTTTGTGTCCATATGTGTTTGTGACCTATCTTACCATCTCTGCATTCATCACATATGATTTATTTTAGGTGTACTGTTTTCATATTTCATATTATGGCTGCAATTAATGACAATCTGTTGCTTTTTTTTTCGGTTAATCAGTGGATCTCTTAGTAAATAAAATATCAGAAAATAGTGAAAAATGGCCATCACAAGTTCCCAAAGTCCAATGTGATGTCTTTAAATTGCTTTACAAAGATGTAAAATAAGGGGAAAAGCATATTTATTCTTCATTTGAAAAGGTATAAAATAGAATTTGGCATTTCGGTTGATAAATCACACAATTTACACACAAATGGTGGCAATAAATCTTCAATTAATGTCAATTGAATAATCGTTCCAGCACTTTTTCTTAGTTTGAGGTTGTAAGATGTCACCGCTTTAATCCTCACTATCTGAACTAGAATAGCTGCACAGCTGATGTTGTGGTTTAATCAGTCAGACCAAATGGGTGAGGTTGTATTTCTTGTGCTCGTCTCATGTTTGGCAACGTTTTCTGAGTCACAGATCTGGGAGACGATTGAGAAAAACAAGGAAATATGACATCATAACGACGCCTGCCGAGCGTGTGGAGATGGCCCCTCTTAATGAGGAGAACGACGATGAAGATGACTCGACCCTCTTTGACATCAAATACAGGTTTGTTTGTTTTTAAAATTTTAAATACTTATTTTAAAGTGTTATTCTCAGATCGAAGAACACTTTAGTTTTTCTTCTGTTTCTACTGACCAAATGAGAACGATTGCAGTCCTAATCCCATTGCGAGAGATACCCACACATGAGCTACAGTGACTGTAACAGTGGAGATATTCAACACTTACAATACAGTATAATACACTAGTTCACACTCTGGCCCTTTATTTCTACAGAAATGTACAGAATATTTCCCAAAAGAAATAGTGCTTCTTTGAAAGGGTTTGACTCAGTCAAACAAATGAAACATAAAAGATTAGTGTACATTTTCAAAGAACTGAAGCCTTTGTAGTAATTTTGTACTTTTGAATTGTCTGGTTTTACTTGCCTTACTTTTCCTCAATGCCTCTACTTATCGAACCATTGTGGTCGTAACATATGTTAACCTTGATTTCCCTAAGGTAACGCACCTTGTGACTCTCTTTTGACTATCAAATGTTGCTGGGTGGCACCATCGTTTTGACAAAGTTAGTGTAGTGCCACTAAAGCAGATGTCTCACTGCTTTTACTGTTGTCCTTAATATTAAGCACACAACAATTAGAAGTACTGCCATGCAGTATAAAACCACAGCGTCAGAATAGGAATATCAAAGCATGCATTTCAATTTGTATTTCTTGCTTGAACTTCTTGAAGAAATATTGTAGGTATGTCTAATGTTGGTATTAGGTTTTACCCTTCCGTCCTCTCCATTGTTCTTTAACGCACAACCACTTCCTCAAAGGAAGACATGACGTCCTGTTTACCTGACACTCTCGACATCCAAGTCAGACCGGACTGCAGGGGAACGTTTCCTCCTAACCATATGGGCAGTAGCACCAGATACAGCTCAAAGTAACTGTGAGTTTTCATTTTGTTTTGCAGGTGAATCCCAGCATGGACATCACTATTTGATAACTCCTTCTCTTGCACGGGACAACTGAAGTGATTTCTTGTTTTGTTTTTTGTGTAGTTGAAGATCAGCAACTTCATATTCTGCTTGTGCATGGCTTTCATCTGTGTTAAAAGGACTGGAGCCACATGGATATCATTGTTTGCAGCTTTTTATGGCTGCTTCCATCATGTGGCACAAATTACCTGCACAACTCTCTCTGATATTACATTTTCTGACAGTTATTGCCATTTCATTTTCTACGCTTGAGCTACTGTCGGTCGGGCTGAGGACTTTATAGTAGAAAGGAACCAGCGCCTGCTTTGAAGCTATGATATATACTCATATTAAAAATTAAGACCACCAGTCATTGCATCAAATGTCAACATGCAACAAATATTACGCAGAGAATACTCTATTCAAATGTAAAAATGTGCACACTTTGAAGAATCTATTGATATACAGCAATTGATTTTTTTTTAAACTAAAATTTCATACCAAATATATTTCTATCTACTAACCACTTTGCTGTGCATATATACGGTTGAAGGTGGTCCTGTCCTTTATGTATGAAGTAAGCGTATATTTTTTTACTGTATGTTGTAGACGTTCCAGTTTTGCTGCTATCTCAGCTGAATTACGTTTTTCGAGGTTCAAATGTGATTAAAAGCTCAAATAATATAGTCGGGGTACATTTGTGAGGTGTTTATGAAATACATCTGTTTGCTATGAATGTGAATCCTGTGATTAAGTGTGTTCAATCATGTGATAATGTCGTTTAATCAAGCCACCACTCAACGATATCTACAACAGTATTTAACATGTGCGACACGCACTCAGTGTCTTATTTTCTAAATCAAAGACAATGTTACATCAAAATGATCCCAAAATCTGGTATCTCTTGTTTGAGATATAGGTGAACAGTCAGTAAAGTGTACATGGAACGTCTCCCACGATCATTTCTGCTGATGGCTCACTGACTCTTGTAATGTCTAACTAGAAATGGACTGTTTCACCCCCTGAAGAGTTGTTTCTCTGTGCCATACAGGTTCTGGTAAAAATCCCAAAAAAAAAGTGTTCCTGTCGTTTCAAGCAGCAACGCTGGCTTTGACTGTTGTTGGAAATGTTTTGACATGCGGGTTTTAAATGGAAGTTTTACTTGTGAATAAGTCCGTAAAACCATTTGGCCCACTAAATAGAGTTAATTACTTAAAAAACAAAACAACTAAAAGCACAACTGGTTAGTTCAAATTGTTATATCTTTATTTCAAATACAGAATATATAATCAACCAAAAGTCTGATATAAAGCACACAGAATAAACAGCAGAGGAGTTCACAAACCTTCCCCGTCTCTTTCTGCACCCTCAAGTTGATTAAAGTAAACTAACAACGTTGCAGAATACACCTAGATTAGGTTTCTGCACTGAATGGGGGTGATGGTGTTGTCGGTGACTTTCTGTTTTTATATCCAAACTGTTATTTGATTGAGTGCACCGTAGCCTACAGCTGTGTCTGAATGACTACTACCACTAGTTAACAGAAAAGATTGTAATGCCCAACTTGTACCACTTTCTCTTTGCAGGAGAAGGAACAGTGTGTCATAAACAGAGTTTTTGACATTCACAGAAGATTGGATACCTTTGTTGTCGCTGTTTGATATACAAGCGACATTGAGTGATGTGTGTGTGAATGTCTGAAAATGTTTTTAAATCATATGTGAATCAAACTGTCAAACATGTTTTTGATACAGTGATCTTTAGCAGATTTCTGGCTATTTCCTGTGTTATCCCTCAGACTATATGACCACTGTTCATTTCAGTAGTGTGTCATGTCTCATTTTAGTTTTTGACTGTATGTGCAGATCAGATTTTTGTCTCAGAGTGTGTCTTCCATCATGGAGACGTCTATTTATTTTATCTTTAGTCGTTGGTGAAACTGTGGAAAAACCCTGCTCATGTACAGAGGCTGATTCTCTGCTTTTATTAGAACCGAGTCCTCTGCTACAGACAGTTCCTGTTGTAAAATTAATTTACGTCAGTGTGGTAGCTATTTGAAGACTGTAGCTAATTTCCCTAATCCCACATCTAAACCAAAAACAAGTTTTGGAAGTTTATTGACACAGAGATGTGTGTGTACTCACAGCTGTTTCCTCTGTTTCCATTTCTTTGAAAACACTACTGAAATAAAACTGCTTCCTTTGAAGTGTTAAAGCGTTATAAGAGAGAGGCTTGAAGTGTTTTTTTTTTTTTCCATTCTGATCTTTTGTGTGTTCTGACCCAGAAAAGTACATTCACTTTGTCATAACTGCACAGTTGAGTCCTTGAGTCATACTGAATATTTTCAGAACTAAAAAAATAAAATATACTCATGTTGTGTATCAAGACCAGCATTTGTTTGCGGGAATTTGGACATCAAGCAGACGATAACATGAAGTATACATGACAAAAAGAAAAAGTACAATAAAACTATACAGCACCATCCCATACGTTTTTTGTCAAACTACGTCAGTAGAAAGTAAATTTCAGATTCTGGGTTAGTTAATTAATTATTTTTTAATTTGCTGAGCTCAGAGGAGCTTTCACAAATCTGTTATTGCCTCCGACTGCTCACGTCTAGTCCAACTTGTGTGTCTATTCTGAACTTTACTCTTGGCGTCGGCCGACATACAAGTCAACTGGTGCATCTTGTCAAAACAACATGAAGAAATCACATGACTGGAAGCGCATGAGAGGCTGCTCGTTTAGCTGCAGAGCTCTTGGAGCAATTCAAGTTCGTCTGTTGTTATTGAAAGAGGCAGTTTGTTGCAGAGAAATACCCAAATCATTTGACAAAAAGCACATATCAAGACAACTCCTAAACCTAAAAACTGAACTGAACTTTGAAACTTCAAAGTGCAGAAGTATAATACAAACTAGCTTTGAACTGCTGTATTGGTTTGACAAATAAGTCTGGTATGGCCTTAAAATTAACTCTGTTTGTCCATCTGTCCCATTGTGTTAAGAATAACTTGGATGAACCCAGTTGTATTTCTGGGCTTGTGAATGGTCCAATGGTCTAATTTATTGATTATTATTACTACAGGCATAAAATACTGGCAACTTCAATCAAAATCCACAAATATCTATATCAACCTATATTGGTTGAAATACTAACCCAAACCCTCTACACAAGTACAATTCATACATCATTTTAAATGGATAAAGGCATACACGTTATCAGTTTGTACTCCTCAGTGTTATTGCACTGCTGCTAACTTTAACTATTCATTTATTTAAAGCACATTATGAGGTTCATTTCTTACAGCATTTGTAAGAATATCACCAATACATTCATTTAAAAAAAAAAAAAAAAAAAAGCTAAGTTCTCACTACCAACATTTGCGGTGCAGAAACAAGGCTGGTGTTCGTTGAGAGAAGTTCACAGAGTGAGTTTACCGCCGCCTACGTCTGTGCAAACATTCTTATGTGAACAGCTGGTACACTCCTTCGTTATGCTCACAGAAGCTCGATACAATGCAACGTGTCTCCATTCGGCTCTCAGGGTATATCTCCAACGTTATCACCTGGCAGCTCTGCTTGACTTGACTTTGGGAATTCTTTGCTTATGAATAACCTGTTTTACACCAGCGACTTTATAGGAAGCTACAAAAGCACAAAATGTTCTCTATCAGAGGAAAGTTTTGTCATCACAAGTTCAACATCATATTAAACAGTTGACCAACAATTTCTCTGTCGTCATTGATCTCCCTGATTATTAAGTGCTTCCATCTTGTGGCCCAAAAAGTGTCTCACAGGAGCCAATAATTCAGCAGCTCCTCGTGACGCTGACATGCTGGGTAAGTTACAACACACCTGCAATGGAGCCCTGTTCATCATTAATAAATGGCATCTAAAAATATGTTCTGATTGCTTAATTTATAACCATACTGGAAAACGTGATGCCCTTTTAAAAGCGGTCTGTTTAAGAAAAATAAGGGGCTAACGGATGACAGTATCTCCATGGACACTGGTAGAAAAGGCTCTCATTATTTTAAAGGCTGCCATAGAAATCTCATTAAAGTTAAAACACACCAGTGAAAGAAGTCACTAAAAGAGCTTGAAATAGAAAAAAATTCATTCCACGAATGAAAATAAGTTAATTCAAATTTCATAAAAGTACGGTTACGAGAAAACAGTTTGTACGGAGTCCGCTCAAAGTGTTTTCCACGGAGATCCTTTGAGCTATTTGCTCCGCAGCTCCTTCTGTGGTCTCCTCTCTGACTCACAGGTCCCAGTGTGGAGCTGGAGCGCCCCCTGTCTGTGCAACGCGCTGAGGGTCCTGAACTCCAAAGGCATGGTGTGAGGGCTGGAGCTGGACGTGTACTCGTACTTCAGAGCGTCGTAGTAGTGGTATTTGACCGGTTTGCCCTGCGGGTCGAGTGGGAAGGGCCAGAAGCCGTAAAGATGGATCTCTTCACAGAACCGAGTGGCCATCGTGTACATCAGGAGCCCAGTGGTCGGACGCTTTATGTGGACGTTGTTGGTTAGCCAATACCTGTTGACAAAGACATATAGTGTGTGAGTGGCTGCATCCGATAACTCGATACCTGCCACCTAGAAATACAGCAAAAGGAAGAATGAGCTCTCCCGAGCTCTAAGTAGCACACTTAAGTCAGTATTCATTAGCAGGCAACACTTCTCCTTCAGTAAAACCTTCCTCCCTCAGAGTTTTGATATAAATCCAGATATATATAGTATGCCGGAGCACACAGCGTGCAGCTGAATCCTAAGAAGTCACTCGAGTGAAAATGTAGAGCCTGCCGGAGATGTTTCTCCGCTGTGGACCACCGAGCTGCCCCTTCAAAGACTAACTGCTCACAGATAATCAATACATGAGCTTTTCACCTCTTCTTCCATTTACTCTGTGGATGAACTGCAAAAATATCACCCGAAAAACAAGTTATTTTGAAAATCTTGATTTTAAATGAATGCTGAAGCAGCTGGTCGATAAATTGATAGAAAATGAATTCTCTGGTTCCAGCTCCGAGCTACCTTTTGTCTCTTTTACATCGTTGTAAAATGAATATATTTGAGCTTTGTACTGTTCATTGAACAAAATAAGCGATCAGAAGATGCCATTTTAGGCCCTAAGAAATGGCATTTTTACAGATCGACAACAACGCAGGATGACCACCGCTCCATCCGGCTTTTTCTTTGCTCAAGCGCTGGAACCATCAATGAGTCCAAACTGATACAAGAGACATCAGCACACATACTGCATAGATTTAAGAGTGCGGAGATCTCTTCTATCAGTTCAGATCGACAACAAAAATAATAGTTCCATGCAGCCCTATTCATAACAAAATTATTCCACACATTTCCTGGCTCAAAAATCTTGAATCTAGTGCAGCCATCTGCCCAGGAAACAAATCATATCTATTTGTCTTAGATCTGGACAAAGACGTGCAATAATGAAAGTAAAAAAATAAAAATGAATTCTCTCACCACATTGGCAGAGCTTTTACTGTATGTATCTTTGGAAAAATAACTCCTGTTTATTACTTGTTCAGGAGGATATGTTTTGCAGCATGTTTAAAAAAAGAAGAAGCTGCACACACTGGCGCTGCTCTGCACACTTGCATTCTTCTTCTTCAGGTGATCTAGGAGCTGCTATGACGGATGCTGCCCTCAGAAGCAGCTTCAGGGACAAGGCGGTCAGACGTGCACTTGCCCCAACTTCATTTTCCTTTCCAGTCACTCGCCCATTTCTCCAGCCTCGGGGCTACGGCTGCCTTCTCTGGCTGTACACTCTGTGGTTAGAGTGGAAGGTCACGTTGCGATGCAGAGGTTGTACTATTTAAAGCAGTTCGTGTGACATGAAGGAAAACTCTGGAGGGCAGGTTTACAGTGCAACCGAACACTACAGCAGGTGATCAGTATTTTAACAAGCAGAGGATATGGCCTAATTATCAGCGAAATGGTCCGATTGTGGCATTTGGTTGGAGTGAATATGAGTAGATCTTTTGTCCTCTAGGGCACATGATGGGGAGTTAAAGTCCAGTCTTACTGAGAAAATGACGAGGTCAGGGGGAGCTTTTATCAGACACCACATTAAAAAGGAATAAGGCATTGGATTCATCTCCAAAAAGATTTTAGGCGACTGCGTTTCTCTTGTAAAACACTGACCAAACAGACTAGAAAAAAGAATGGCCCAGTTCGACCCTTTTGCAATTAGAGTGTTTGTTGGGGCAGACAAAATGACATAATTTGGTGACTGAACAGCGGTTGTTAGGCTTTCAACAAAGCAGAAAAGATCCCGAGCAGAGTCCGGTTGTGATGAGAGAGAACCAACGACAGCAACACAAATTGCACAGATGGGTTTAAGAACAGCCTGAAGGCAGTGAAGGCTGTATTTGACAGATCTGTAAAAAAAAAAAATCCTCAAAAAAAGATTCAGTTCTAAAATAAATCATCAGAAATAATAAGGATTATCAAAATGTAAAGGTCCTATTACACCACAGCTTAACAGCATATCTTAATTGTATCAATATCTAAATATCTAAAAACAACTATTTGGAGCAAACAAGTAAGTGTTATTTTGCACATGGCTTGACATTTTGGGAAATGCCATTATTTGCTTTCTTGCAGAGCACTTTTCTGTAGAGTTCCTGCTGGTTGCCTGATAACTGAACCGGGACGACAAGATTACGGGAAACCACTGCACTTGGCTTTGGATGACCAAGAAATAGCCAAAGCATGTAACTCACATTAAAAGCACAAAGTGTTTATTTGCAGTCGAGCTAGCAGCATGGCTCTAGGGAGGGAAATATCGCTGTTTGTTGGTTGGTTGGTCCACCACTTTGGTCCACACTGAAATATCTAAACAACTATTGGATAAATTGCTAAGAAATTTTGTACCGACATTCACGGTCCTCATAGGATGAACCCTTCTCACTTTTGTGCTCCCCTGACTTTTCCTCCTAAATTTGGGCTAAATTTGGTTGATGTCATGAGCAAATACCGGCAAAACCAATGACGTTCCCAAAAGCCTCGGTCTTACTTTGTGTTTAGTGCTAATAAGCAAATGTTAGAAGGTTAACACACTAAACTAAAACAGTAAATATATATTATACTTCAGGATGTAAGCAAAGTTTTCATGAGCACGTTAGCATGCCAATGTTAGCATTTAGTTCAGCCTCACAAAGCTGCTACTGTTGTTATACATACAGTATAGAGACTCTTGGTCTTCTCACATTTCTGCTTGTTTGCACAGTTAAACAAAGAAACAATGTGACAATGAGAGGTGTTGGTAGACATATTTTTAAACTTTGTACTGAGCCAGGCGAGCTTACCCCATGTTTCCAGTCTTGACACTAAGCTTAATCACCTCTTGGCTCCTGCTTCTTACTTAACACACACACACACACACACACACACATATGAGAGTAGTATTATTGACCTTCTCCTCTAACTCGCTAAAAGAAAACAAATAAGTGCATTTCCCAAAATGTTTCACTAGTTTAAGGGATATGAATGATTGATCCTAGCACATACATCAAATCACACAAATCATAAAAACCCTGATATGTCTACTTCACAATCAAATGCACACAGACATTTCACACGTGTTCAAGACATATTTGGTAGAACGACTCCAGGTGCACACTACGTGAAGAGAGGCCCAGTAGCGTTCTCACACCAACTGCCCCAGGATATCAGCTTTAATGCTCCGTTTAAAAATAGCCACCTGGGATGCAGATTAGGGCTAGCCAACCCCATTCATTATGCTGCTCACAGGAGTTCTTAACCCGGAGCAGCGGTTGCCAGCCTGAGCCGTCTCTTACCCTCTGACAGCGTGGAGAAGGCGCAGCGAGGGGAAGGCGGTGCGAACGTCCACAGTGTGTAACAGGATGAGACGAAGGGCCCACTCCACGCGCTCCTCTCCCCCCTTGGCCATGAAGGCCGGGATCCACAGCACGCTGCCGCTGAGGCTTTGAAGCCGCTGCAGGAAGCGGTCCCTCCACTCTTCACTGACCAGGTCCTGGAAGGCCCGCTGCACCACCGAAGGGTTCATGGTCACCAAGTTTGTCCGCCAGCCTACGTCCCGAGAGTACTCCTCCACTGGTGCCAGGTTACACCTTCGAACAAGCAGAGCAGATTCATTGACTGATAAAGCTTTGACGTTCCACAGAGAGCGAGCACATTTTCTTCTTACATTTGTCTTAACTCACACTTGTAAGACAGATCCTGAAAGGCCTCTCTGTGTGTAGTGGACTGTTGTCATTTGTTTTAATTGTCATTTGTTAAACTCTGATTTATCTCAGGTGCAGATTGCTGACAAACCTGAATAAAAGAGTGTAGAAACATTATTGCAGATTTAACTAATGCAGGATGTGAGGGCTCACTGAATGGTTTGATAAATATGAAAATGATTCATATGCTATGCTCTTCAGTCACCAGACTCACAAGTGGGCTTAAATGAAAGCCACAAATCTACACTTCAATCACACATGTCCTTAAAGGGAGCTTAAATGATTTGATGTACCCGTTTTGATAAGTCATTCATGTCATGAGCAGTGACTGCTACACTGCAATGGTTAGTTAACTTCAGACGTGTACCTTTTCAAAAATCGCAATCTTCCGGCAGCTCACACATTACGAACACACTTACATTTTGTTTTCCCCCTTTAAATCTACCCTCCATCTGTTTGTGTCCCTAAGCTAGTCAGACCATTTGTCAGGCAGAAGTCTCTACCAGGAGTGAAACAGAGCAGCAACACAAGTGACATTCAGCAGAAAAGCAGCATGGCCTTTTTTTTTTTTATTGCCGTTAACCTCGGCCTCCAAGTAAATACCAGGAAACACAAAGACGGTAATTATCTTCACGGTGAAGCGACTCTCTTCTCTCCAGTGTGGAAGGAAAGCGAACCAGGAGTGCTCGCTTTTAATAACTTAACATATTAATACTAATTTAAAACTTGTGGTCGCCGTCCAGTGAAAACCCACCTCTCCAAAACATCAACAACACAATTTATTTCATTCAATTTAGTCCGTTTCATCGGAAAAAAATTCCAAAATCATGATGAATAGATGCATGATTTTCACTGGACAGTAACTTACCACTGCAGCTTAATGGTTTGCCGTCAAAATACTATGACAGCTGATGCACCTGCTGCAGGAAACAGTTCAAAGATCACATGCAAGAGGAAAACAGGACAAACATGCACCAGCAGCTGACTCTAATTTATTTTTGAAAGCTCTAATAAATTGCTCAAGTACGCCAAATTATTCCATTACATCATCACAACACACAAATGATCTCGAACCCAAAATACTGTCAACCTACTTAGTGGAAACGCAGCGTATAGGGCAGAGAACTATATTTAGCCGAGGCGTTATCTCCGGATCGGATACGTGAATGTCAGAGTAAAATCCTCGGCTTCTCAAAAATGCCACTTTCCCTGTTGTCTGCCTTCAGCCAACCATTACCGCCGTGCCCCGCCGTCATTATCATGCTGCGGTGGTCGAGAAATCACGACCTCTCCTCGTCAGCATAACATCGCAGCACTTAGGGAAGACGAGATTCGCTGACAACAGAATCAATTTCAGAATAAGAAAGGGACACAAAAGGATTTTGAGGCCTATTCAGCCATCGATCAATCCGCTCAATGAGGCGCTACCACAGACAGCTACTTCCTGCTCCATTGATACAGCAACATTAACGTCATTGATTTATTAGAGGCGGTTTCTCACAGTACTTACCTCTGCAGTTAGTGCACGTTTTGTTAGATTGTTCTGCTGTACACAGAATCCCAACAAGAATATATTTAGTTTTTCGCATCTTTCATTATAATACAACCCCAGACAGATCTATTTCCCTCCAATGACAAGTGAATAGTGATAAATAACCCACTCAGCGACTCCTTAAACACAAGACAGAGCCGGCTGATGGCTTCACCAACACAATTCTCCGGTAAATGAGAGCAGGACCCCTGAGAGCGCCGGCGTTTCTCTAAAAAGCACAATGTGTTTCTGCTGGATGCAAAAGACCTTTCAAAATGTCACTCTAATGTATGATCGTGCATTTAATTGCTCTCAGTCCGGCAGCTCATTTCCAACTTTAAATCATTAAAAAAAAAAGCGTTGCCAGCTTTTTCAAAAGTGCAATTAATATATTTCCACCGGCTCTAAACCTGAATCAAACCGAGAAACTGGAGAAAGTGCTTATCATTCCAACGTCAATTACACTCTCAGTAAAGTGAGATAAACCTCATGTGCTAATCCATTTCAATTACGGTCCACTTTGACTCGCATGTGTTATGATTTATTTCAAGTGGAAGCCTTCCAACCCTGTAATCGCTTCTGCCATTTCTAAAGAAAGACAAGAAAGAATACCTGATAACAAAGTCGTGAGAGTCGATGTCGGGTCCGCAGCTGCTGTTTAGCAGAATCCCAGAGTTCCCCACTATGGCGCAGCGCCTGTGATGTTGGTTCTTCATGGGGGATATCGTTGGCAAAAGGCGGTAGAGATTCTCTGAGATGTTGGTGGTGCTGTGGCGATCAAACACATAGTGGATGATATCTCCCGGCTTCAGTGTGCCCTTCAGAATAGAGATGTCCCTCTCTGGATCGAGAAACCGCAGAATATTCTTTCTGTGAAGAGAGAAAATACACACGAGTTATAAATAAAAAGAGACTCTGCTGAGCGGAGTGTGAAAGGATGTGGAGATAATTGTGGTGAGCGGTGAGTCTGCCTGATGAGGTTGGAGAGCGTCTTGTTGAAGGTCCAGTCGTTTGACGAGAGCTTGACGGTGTTGTAGCTCGGACTGAGATGATTCACGTCTTTGCTCGATCGTGCCAAAGCAGTCGAATCCACGTGCGCTGCAGCCTTTCTAAATGAGAATGGGAAGCGGTGTTACTATTGTTGATGTTTAACGTTCTGATCAATAAGAAACAAAAGCCTTGGTATTTGGTTCATATAGTGTATTCATTTCTCCCTCTTTTTCCCCTAATTTAAGGGTTCTTTTTTATTTATTTCTGAATCGAGGGTGTAAGAACAGAGGGCGTTATATGTTGTACAAAGAATTGGGGAGACAAATTAGTGATTTTGGCCTATATTAACAGTAGTGAAATGTAACTAAGTACACTTACTAAGGAACAAATGTTGGATACTTGTTCTTAAATAATTAAAATTTTACTCTTTTATGCTACTTTACACTTTTTCTTTGATTGCCCAACACTTATTTCCCAGCGTAAGCTATTAACTCCATTGTACAGTAAGATTTGACATACAAAGTTCATTATATAACAGTCATGGAGGCCATATATTACATAATGAGTACTTTAAATACATTTGAACACTTATGCACCATATTATGCAATGGAGTATATTTACACAGAGGTATTCATACTTTTACTTAATCAAATCTAAATTATTCCTCCACCGCTGCATATAAAAAGAATTGTCTTGGCTGCAATGAGGCTTAGAGTAATTTAAAAGTTGAGATTATTTGCTATTTTATTCAGCATTATTCTGATGGCAGATGTTTTTGTTATCACATGGATACCACCATATTTATAGCAGCTGCCTTCTCGCTGTAAAAAGCAATGAGACGTTCACTGTGAATGACTCACTGTCACGGCTGCAAAGGAATCAAATGCCCAATACCAACTATACAAATTATATGGACAGACCATTAAGCCCCCACTGGTGGTCTACAGCTATATGCATTTGCATATATATATATATATATATATATATATATGTGTGTGTGTGTGTAGATAATTGGATTTCAGACCTGTGCGGTTTAGGGATGAGCCGATGAAAGTTCATCTTCTTTGAATGTCCAGTATTTCTACAAGGGGGGGAAGAAATGGTTATGATTGAATTATGAATCACATACTGCAGCATGAAGGCTTGGTTGATAATGGACTGATGTTTCAAGTCCTTCCTGTAATCATATCCTGTACCAATAATGCACCTATTCAATCCCAGCCGTACCGTGCTTCCGTCTTTCTAGACAGAATAAGGGTGGAAAGCATGCATCAAGGTATTTTTAAAGCAATCCACTGTGGGTCCATTTGCTGATGTAATGAGGAGAAATAGGGCCTTAATGGAGCCCCATTATACTGAAAGGAGGTGTTGAATACACCATGCAACCAATCTGCATTTTACAGTCATACTAAATGACTATTTTTCAATCCTGACCTTGTTCCCATGTGATAAAATAATGACGAGCTGCCAGCTTGTCTTGAAGGAGTGAGGAACTGAAACAGAAGAGTGCTTCTCTGACAGACTAGTGGGCCGTTCTCACTCGTTTCACAATCCTGGTGGCTTTAAATATATTGTTACAATCGCGTTGAGCTACATTTATGCAGAATCGGTTCTGGGTCTTCTCCCACCGCCAGTCACAAACCAATATGACCTCATTACAACATGAGCCACAGCCGAGTAATTGTGTTCAAAGCAAAATGTTCTTGCTGAAAGGCAGATGTGAGAATCCAAAAGCTTCACACAGAGACAGAGAGAGAGAGAGAGAGAGAGAGAGAGAGAGAGAGAGAGAGAGAGAGAGAGAGAGAGATTCAGGTAGCACAGCATCTATAAAGCGGTGATGATAATGATGAGTGGAAGAGTGGGATGTTGCACTGTTGAGGCCTGGTTGGTTTTACATGTGACCAATTTATTTTAGTCCTAAATTAAGAATGTATTTTTTTTGCAGGTCAAATATAAGCGTGACTTGGAAGATGTCTTCTGCACTGCTCAACATTTCAAGGACTGAAAATGAAAAAGAAAAAAAGGAGGAGAGACTCGTTTGTTTCCAATCTGTTGCCGCCCCCCCCAGTCTTTCTCTCCCTCACACACACACACACACACACACACACACACACACACACAGTCTACTCCTATAGTGTAAATGTATCCCATCCGGCATGCAGGCTGCTGCAAGACAAATAGCCTAATCCTTGGAGACCCTGGCCAGGCTGCTGTCGGAACAGCTGCTGCTGCTGCTGCTGCTGCTGCTGCTGCACCACCCAAGTGTTACAAATAGAAACAAACCACCAATTGTCCAAATCCAACTCTAAACTTCAATTCAATAACGATAACCTCTTTTATTTCACTAATGTATTCTTTTGTCCCCTTCTCTTCCACTTCACAGATTCAATCCTGTGAGGAAATAACCTGCTGGACAAGAAAACAATGGACACACGCGCGCGCGCACACACACACACACACACACACATACATACATACATACATACATACAACGCCTGGGTAAATTACGGGGTGCTACTTACGCAGTTTCTTTCTCCACTTCTGCAATATCATCAATTATCAAAACCACAACCAGCAGCGTTACAAAGCCGAACAGCAGCGTGCGGAATACAAGCGGCATGGCTGAGGGGGAGGTGGGCTGCAGCCGGGGTGTCCCTTCTTTCAGCAAACACTGTGCTACATTAACCTTCTTGCGTTTCCCATTTATAAATCAAAAAATGCGCTCAGCCATCTCTCTCATTGTTCTTATCGCCGGAGTCGGACACTCCCAGGCGAGCTGCGGAAGAAGACGGTTTCCTTGTGTCGGTTTCCCGGCGGGGTTGCTGCTGCCGCTGCTGCTGCCGTGTCTCCGGTGTTACCCCCTTATTCCCCAGTCAAACTTTGAAAGCGTGCACCTACACAGCCTGCCATGGGAGCAGCGAGATGTAGACCACATGCAGCCTTAAAGGCGCAGCGGCCAACAACTCGGTCTCTCGACCCCGAGCAGCCGGTTTGATTTCACTCTCCAGGTGTTGTTGGCTCCCTGAGAGGAGGTGGAAAGACCGCAGTACAGAGATCGTCAGACAGGCGCACCAGGCACGCTTGCACCGAAGTAGTAGAATCGTATCTGATGTGTATTCTGATAGCCTACATTACGAAATAGAGGTCAGTGCTTCAATGGAGCTCACGTGGCCACCAAGCACATGTGAGTGAGCCCCAAATCAGACGAGCACTGAATCTAATGGAGGCATCTTTTAATAGATCTGGTCACCAGTGGTTATGAGACATAATACACTAAACGTGCCTTATTACGCTCCACCACTTTCAGAGAGAAATATTATCATTTGTACTCCACTACATTTATCTCACAGCTGTAGATATGAGTTACTTTTTTCTTTGACTTAAAACGGTGTATGCATTGTTCAGGATTAAACTAGTAAATCCCAATCTAGTTTTTTTTAATTTTTGCTTGTAAACCCTTACAAAAAAAAAGCACTTGACGCAGCTTGTCTCCAGTAGTTCCACCAACGACTGGTTTCACCTGCACACTCCTCAGATGGTTTCATTTGAAGAGCTGTTTAAGACCTAACGATGTAAAATGATCTAAAAACAGCATCAATAAACGGCAAGTAAATAGAAACGTGTGCTGCGCAACTTGTGTTTCTTCTACTTTCCAATCCAATCAATCACCAATGAGCCTTTAGAATTGTCTTGTGACCCGATGGAGGGGGTCTGACCCCTATTGGGAACCACTGGACCAAATATAAAGTAGTTAAAACTAGCTCTAGTTGCAACAATACTTGACACTTTTGTGCTTCGGTAGGATTTTTAATGAAGGACTTTTAGTGGAGTATTTTTACATTGTTGTTATTTAGGATAAATACTTCTTCCACTACTGATGCAGGTTTTTGGTGCATTTCACAGTTTGGAGGAAGTAATCTTTCTTTTCACTGAGCTATTGCCACTAAGAAATGAATGTTGGACACCACTATCATTTCAAAAAATGTCTCTGACGCTCCCATTTGTTTTGCTCAGGGTATTTCTGTTCTTTTTTTCTGGTACAAAGTGCAGGACCATATATCTTTGGATTACCATCACTACGACCAGCTCTGCTGTGTCTACAATTTGCTTTGTTTATATATTTTCCAAAGCCTATGTTTATCCTGAAAAAGCTAGCTGGGCATATTTTCTTGCAGTTTCCTGCTAAAATGTTTCCTCCACCTCGGGCACTTAAATGTTAATGGTGGAGTTACACTTCACTTTCCCTTGAAGCAACAATGTACATTCACTAATTGCTGCTTAATTAACTAGTGCTTAAGCAGTGAGTGTAAACACATGTTGAGATTTTAATTATACAATTGTTTGAGCACAATGGCCATTTAAATTATAACAGCTATATTAACTACACTGGAAGCCATCAGTGTAGTTAACTAAAGTATATGTGAGAACACCGTGGCCACATTTGAGCAGTTATTGTGTCAGTATACGTCATAGATAAATACAAGCAACAAAAATAATGCAGTTTTCAGAGTATGTCATATTTAAAGCAACTACACATTACATTGGACATCTGCTCATCATCAGCATCATCCTTCAGGACTTTCTCTTCATCCTGCTCATCCTCATGATCATCGCCAGTCTCGCTAGCCCTTCATAGTTGCCTAAATAAACTCACATGTTCAGCTGAATCATAGTTTATTATTATCTATTTACTGACTTCAACTGTATGCATGATCGCTGAGCACATGTTGTCACATGGTCAGTTAGGCTTTAATTGCAAATGAAGCATTAATCAGTTAAAGCAAATTTAAAGTGTTGGCTCTGGCTTCCTCAAGTTACATGCATATATTAGCGACACAATTAAATTTCATAGACATGGATAAAGGGCTAATTTACATAAAGTGAAAAGTGCAGCTGCAGACTTGACAGTGTGCATAACGACATGACTCATATTCACCCTGCTAATAACGTCTAATACTAATGCTGATTCATACATTCTGCGTGTATGTGTGACATGTGAAGTCTCACATTTGCATTCACATTCTGCAGTTTGTGATCGTGTTGAAAAATCAGCATCCAGGCATGAACGTCCAAATGTCAGCGGGCTGAACTCACTCACTCGCTCCACGAGATTAATATTCACTGAAACACAACACAGTATATCCCTCAACAGTATGAACAAGACATAAGTCAAAGTTCTCCCACGGACAAATGTATTGCTTTGTGTTGTTTTTTTTTCTGCTGGAGTCGTCGTGCAACAGTTCGTCCCACTAAAGCACCCATTAGGCTAATTGACGCTGCTTGATTGAAAGAGAGAACTCTCGCCTGCAGCAGCTTCTATTTTAGAGGTTGCTTGCTTTCTGTGAGCGCTCAAGGACACTTTTCCCGGAGTCTCGCAGTTGCATCTTGGGTGTCTTTGATGTGGCGAGCGTCAGGAGCGAGGCGTGTATCAGAGAGTGATGTTAACCGAGGCAGATGCTGCTGATACTGTAGCTGTTGTCATACGCCAGCTTTCTGTCTTGTTGAAGAGTGGCATCGTGCTATTATTAGTCGTTACAACCACAGAAACACACTCTAGTTTTTGAAAGTGTGTTGAATTTGGATTCACAAGAACTTAGAAATGATAACTATGACGTGTTTTCACAAGAGGCTTATTTTTGTGCTCGGTACACAAGCCCAACATTAACATTTTTGTGATATATTATTTATTGTTTACATGGTATCAATTATTTATTTTATCCCAGAGAGTTCTTTGATTTAATAAAACTATGTGATTCATTCCAGTCCAGCAGACTGGGTTTTGTTGTACCAGATAATAAGCAATAATTAGAGATAATAAGAGATAATAGGAAAAACATGGCCTTGATGAATGTTTGCCACAACAACAGAACGCTTAGTTTTGGCTCGCTTGTTTCGAGCTGCACAGAGGCTTCTGCTTTCATTATTATTGATTCATTAACACATTTAAAGTACACACTTCTCCGATCAGTCTTCAAATTCACAGCACATAACATGTGCGCTGTGCGACAACACAATAAACCAAACGCCCCGCTGACCCTCTGCAGCTGGGACTCAGGTCAGCCTCTAATTGGCTGTGTGCAGGTGTGACAGGTTCTTTGTTGGAACATTGAGGGTGACCTTTGGAAATATTTTGGGAATGCTACAAAGAAATGTCATCTCTTAGTTCATGGCCAAAATGTTACAGTCAAAGCTCTACCTTTCGGTGTATGTCAGTGTGGTTGATAAGGTAGTGTGTGAATGTCCCAGCATGATGTCAGGTGCATAAGCAAAAAGGTAAAAACAGTCTCAAGAAAAATAATAAATGCTCCCAAAATGACGATTTATTGAGTACAATCACGCAGTCTTCATTAGGTCACATAGCAGCTGAAAGAAAATGTAATTTGCTTGTCAATACACTTTTTTATTTTTGCCTAGAAAGGGTCATCACTCTTAAAAATGAGACAATATTTGGATGCATCTTTGCCCGGCTACTATGATCAGTAAGACCAAGAATAGATTAGTCCAGTTCTCAGATCTTAACACTGGATTCCTGTGTGTCAGAAAAATTGATTTAAAATACAACTGTTGGATGCAGTTTTCTTCTTCTTCTGTCTGACAAGACAATGGAGTAGCAGTCTGAATAAAACCTATTAGAATCCAGATGGATTACAGGGATCTTTTACAACCTCTCTATGTTCTCAGTGGCTCCTTTCTGAATAGCGACTGAAGGATAAAAGATGAACTAGAAGCTGTAAATCTGCTGTGTGACTCAATATATCACAAGTCTGTGAGCTCCATTCTGTTTTCAGGTCAATACTTCATCTTCCTGAAGTACAATATTGACTTAGTACAATATTGAGAACATGTGATGAGCCGTGAATAGACTGAACTTCACGCTCTTCCCTTTACGGTGCCTCAACACTTCTTTAAAGGGGGTTTGATAGAAAATAATGTCGTTCTATACAACATGAAGGGTAGATCAAAGCGGAGTATTCATCATAAAATGTAACTTAAATGTTATGATGAATTGTCGTATATTCATAGCTTGTTTTACTTTTGTTTTGATGTTTTGTTTTGTGAATATGTGTTAGTTGTGTGCAAGTACATGACAGAATAAATCCAAACAAACCGCTGGACAAAGTTGCTCTCTGACATAAAAACAAAAAGTCTTTAAAAAAAAAAGAAGACTACAAAAACACTCAAATTTGAATTTATTTTCTGAAAAATAATTTATTTCCAGAGTAAAATAAACGATATGTTGCCATACAAAAAGTGTAAGAAAAGGGACAATGTCAAAACTGTAAATGCAGAGAGAACATACATCAGAGTAACAGTTCGTACAGTGCGTGCGAGTTCTTCAAATACATGTCCAGGAATAAATTCAGTGTGTTCTTTGTTGTTCACTTAGACCTCACACACACACACACACACACACACACACACACACACACACACACACACACACACACACACACACACCCCTCTGTAGTATTTATGTATTTTTTCATCCCAGATCAGGACTGCACCATTTTGAAAAATAAATCTAATTGCGGTTTGACTGATATTGCATTTGCGAGATCGGTGATGATATTTTTGACATCATTCTCATTTTTGCTGAAAAACAATAAAATGACGATGGCGTGATTTTTGCGGGGGCTCTGTACCAAACCAAGATGCTTTCTTAAGTCTGTAGAATATGATATGTGGGCCGGGACATCTCTGCAGCACGACAATGTTCAATCTGAAATTGTATTTCAACACAGATTTAACCTCTTACAAATATTGCGCTGAATGCAATTTGGAAATTGTAAGCAGCCATTTTGGCATTTGGATAAAATGTTGTGTAACTGTGCAGCCCTATTCCAGACATTACAGGCCTAAGGTTGTTTCGTTTGCCCCAACAATGCAACATACTATTTCCATCGCTATGAATTGTCCCAAATCTTCTGTGACATCAGACATACACATCTCAGACAATTCGATTATATATAATTTATACTGTCCTTTCAAAAACAATCTAATAAAACATTCCTCGCCTAATGAAACTAATATATTACTCCCCATCTCTTTTACTTGAATGTCCAAAACACAGAAATATTATTTTTGATTTTCTTGTTTGCTCTTCCACTCGGTGCAAAAGTCAAAAGAAAATATAATTAACATTCTTATTTCAATAAATCCCTTATTAAGACGCGTTAGGCTGGATAAACTCTGCAGGTATGGAAATAAAACAAACTGCTATAATGAAAAACAAACCTGCAGTCTGACACAAAACTAGTAACAAACATCGATGTATCAGATATGAATTGCACATTTGCATCTATGAGACTAGACTTCACAGTCTAGTCTAAACAGTATCAAAAACAGTGGCTGTGCTCCAGCAAGAGAACGAGGAACAACAGTGCATGATGACACGAAGACACCACCTTGTTTTAAGGTCCTAGACTGAGTTAGTTGACAGTTAAAACATCTAGTAGGCCACTATAATAACCCAGTCCGGGTGTTTCTGTTCTCGTCTTATAAGAAACCTTCCTGCATTGAAATAAAATGCAGTAACTGAACTATTAGTTTGTAAACACTTGGCAACTTTTAAATGTGAAAAACGGAGGGACCACCCAACTTTCGTTTTTTCTTATCATAAAAATCTCCTTTTTTTGAGAGCGTGACAGGCAGAACACACAGTGCACTGACTGAAAGGACACACAGAACACTGGAATCATGATGGACCTAAAACAATATGGCAACTAGTTGTAATAGCATCATGTCCACTCATTACTAATCAGCTAGGGCCGAGCCTGACAATACAGTAGTCTGTCCTCTACCACCGAGTCAACACAGGAATTCTCCGGCAACACTGGACAAACACCTCGCTGACACGTCAACGACTAAAATGGACCCGTGAAAGTTTACCGAGGACGTGGATCGCAGTGGAGAGCAACGTCACCTGTGACGGGCCGTTAAATAGATCGCCTTGATCTAAAACACTTTATTTTATCCTTTGAAGAAAAGAAAAAGAAAATGTTCTTTTGCGAGAATGTGAATGTCAACATTGTCCTTTTCTTGCATAACAAACTACAAAACTGACTCCATATTTTCACAAACCTCGTGGTCCTCTAGGTTGTATATAAACTTTGTCCTGTCTACTAGTTTGGGGCCGTCTGTGAGAGAGGGGTAAAACTCCGTCGCCGTCATGTAGCCCTCGTTGCTTTTGATGTACTTCTTGTAGTTCCTGCGTAAGCAATACCACGTGGTGGCGTAGAGGAGGAAGGCGACGGCCTTGAGGATGATGGCGAGGCTCACGTACAGATGCCTGTAAGCTACGTTGTCGTAGAGCAGGCAAGCGCCCCGATCGCCGCAGTCTGAACTCCAGAATAGGCAAGTAGAGTCGATCCCAGCACCGAATATCAGAGGAGGGGGGATGAATCCTGTCAAACAGAAACACTGACTGAGCCCACGTACTCTTTTTGGGTCAATATCAAATAACTAGGCAGACTTTTTTCTGAGAGTCAGATGATACCAAGTAGTAGAAGATAGAGTCATTATTTATGTTATATTTAACACAAATATGAATTTTTTTTTTGGATTATTTGAGAAATGCGTTCCTTCTACTTCCAACACAGAGCTAATCAAAGATAATATCTCTTTCATGATCTGTAAAATTAGACCAGCGTGTTTCTAGGTAACTGGATTTAGTCTTCCTTAATTCCATTACTCCTCCCACCATTACAGGCCTCCATCGACCCGAAACGCTTTGCTGGTTTCTTGTTCCCACACGGAGACAAATCAGATCAACACAACAGCATTAGAGTTGATGACACTAGAAAAACAAATGCATATTCAGGTCGATCGAGGCGTGTATTGACGGGAGTGACGAGATTATCTAAGCTCTGTGAAACCTACACACACTTAACGGGTACTGCGACAGTATTGAGACGTAGTATACTGTAGTATCTGGAATGAATGTGGTATCTGATAGAAGTCCTTACCGAGGAGTCGCAGCAACAGAAACAACACTCCGAGTGCATAGGATTTCAGCTCAGGGCTCACAGTCCTACACGGGAAGCAGATAGAATAAATAGTTTGGTTGTTGTATTAGATTGGGTTGCAAGAACACACATCCACAAACACAGTGCACGCACTCATCTGTTTATATCAATCATACCTGATTAGGATGATGACAGAGGGCGTCTGGGCCATGGCTCCGATCAGGCTACAGGCACAGATCACACACAGGAAGATGAGGAAAGACTCCTGGCAGCCCGGCATCGGACATTTCCCCGAAACGGCTGTGGCCAGTTCACTCTCAGAGGATACACAAGCGCATCCCGTCAGGTTCTGTGAAGAGAAGAAGACCGAGCTTCATACAAGAACCCTTTGAAAAATAACCAGTAAATCAAATGACAGGGTTCTACAAAAGTGCTGCTACAGCATCAAGTCTCTTTATTTAAATATAAAAGACGCTAATCTGCAGTTGGCATCTGATCTGGTAAAAAAACATGTGATAGCTGGCAACAGGACTGTGCAATACTAGGACTCTTCTTTACCTGAACTTTAATATCAAAGCACATTTTTAAGAAGTTCAAAGAAAAGTTTGCATCATGTGTGATTAATTTGCTGCTTTGTCCCTCTGCGATTACTGCTACTGATCGCGACCGCGAGACTTAAAGGCTAAAGACCTGGGAGATGTTGGTGGCTTTGCGAGGGCTGCCCGTCTGGGTGCAGCCGGCCAAGCAGGCAGACAGGTAGGTGACACCGTTGGAGCCGCACACGGGGCTGATGGAGGAGGTGAAGCAGTTGCAGTGACTGATGCACGGAGCGTCTGGTTTCTCGCCCACCTGCAGAGTCCTGAAGAGAGACACAGAGAGAAAGCTGAGCATCTGCTCCAACTGGAAGTACCAGTTCTATCTGTATGTGGCACAAACTACATCGAAGAAGCACTTTTTATTTATTTATTTATTTATTTTTTTTTAAATCAGGGACACTATGGTTCACTTTCAACATCTCCATGGAAACTGCTCTGGAGCCGGCTGGGTTCAGGCTACCGAATCGAAAAGTAGCGAAGACCTAAAGTCAGTGTTTCTGCACAGAGAGAAACACTGACTTCACGGTGAAATAACGAGACATTCAGGGAACTGTGTGGCTGCGTATCAAACCAGAAAAAACACTTTCTTGGAAGACACCAAAGTGTGTCTGTAGTCAAGTGTGTTGTTAATCCCCCCCCCAACAAATTCAGTGCACTTTCACAGAAGAGTGAGAAAACCCCCAAAAAACATTTACTTTTGAGCAACTGGAAGCCAAGACTTCCTGCCATTTCTCTTTTAAGAAGATGCATGAGTGTTTTTGGTATCTGCATCAGGTATTACATAACCACTAATATTGGAACATTTCAACAATTTCCAGTTCTAGACAAAAATAAATAAACCGATAGTGACAGAAGTATGATTCATTATGACTCGTCGATATAAAAGTGAATGAAATGTCCTGTTGCATAATATTTCAGCTCCATCGTGAGACCGGGGACTGATTCAGTGAAGGCTGCCGCATTCATATTCAGTCCATGCAGCACGGAGGAGCAGAAGGCCACTTTCTGAATATAACATCTTTTAACAGACTCCATGAGATGACACAAAGTTGTTAAGAATAAAAAGTAAGCCCACTGTGCTCCAATGACCGTCAGCGGTAAGATTGTATTTACACATTTAGACCCTTTGCAGTTCACCTCCAATAAAGTCCTCCAACCTTGGCAGCAGTGTCACGTTTCACTGCTATAATGTTGTTTACTGCTCATGTTTATTTATTAGAATAAGTCCTCACGATGGGACACACATTCACAATCTAGGGTGTAAAAACTATTTGTGGCCAAGGGTATGTAATGAAATAATTGCACTTTATCTATAGTTTACTGCTTATAGTCGACGTCTAACTTTCTCTGCTGAATCTAGAGGAACTCCACTAACTTCCTCCTGGGGATGAACTGGTTCATCTCATTTTACATACAAGCTGCACGTGATTGGTTAGTTGTCACAAAACCAGCTTTGTAATGGAAATTGAATCGTGGCTAAACTGGAAGTTCTTGGGTGTACTGTAACTGTAGAATCCTGGCGATGCCACACGGTGAGCTCTGTGAGGAGGACCTGCTCCAGATGTGCATATGAAGGGCTCATTGGAAGCTCATTGTAGTCACTATACACTGATGGAAACACAGCTGTGAATATAATATTCCATGTTACACACCGGTCCTATGAGGAATCATCTGTTTGAATAAATCCAGTTGAAGAATCTGGATTTGTTTTGGTTGTTTGAAGGTAAAGTGCAATTAATCAATCAATTAAGAACAATGTTTTTTGTCTTCTGCTTTCCTGACCTCACTACCCCTCAGATAAACATGTGTGCCGCGGTAACCTGTGTTCAAGGTTTGTAATACAAATGGCTGCCATCTATCCAGCTTTCTCTCTTACTCGTTGCCGTACGGGACCGTCACCCCTGCGACGGGGCCGGTGTTGCAGCCCAGGAACAGGAAGGAGACGTAGCAGGCTGTGGAGATCAGGTTGACCAGCATGGCCATGCGGATGGCTCCCAGCGCCGACAAGTTCAGCTTCTTCACCAGCAGACCGCCCATGAAGATCCCCAGACATGCACACGGAATGGCCGTCATACCTTGAAAACAAAGTGGAACCTTTGTTGTGATGCTGTTAAACCGTATGTAGTACGTGTGCGCTCATGGCCTGTTTGCTCTGGACACACACCTAACAGCTGGTTGGCTGAGGATGTGGTGAGGTTGAACTGCTGCTCGAGGTATTTCCCCAGAAAGGCCGCAAAGCCGGCCACGACCGCGATCTCCATACACGCCGCCAGGACGATGCAGGTGAACACGGGGTTCGACAGGAGGTGCTTGGTCACCTTGGGGATCACTAGTCGTAAAGAAATAAAAGGATGATCATTAATAGCAGGACAGACTGGATCCTCTTGTTGCCTTTAAGTCGGTTTTAATCGAATATGATTAACTTATTTTAGCAATCAAATAACATAATACTAATACATATCATTATAATGAACCAATTACTTGATGGATAGCCATTGGATAAAAGCTTGTTTTTTTCCTAATTTTGGACAATCTGCATACTTTTTATGCTGTTCATACTTTTACTTGAGTACTTCTCCAGAGCATCACTTAACTTGTGAGTACTTTTCATTGTAGTATTACTACTTTTTTTACTTAGTTTAACATTTTAGTGTTATTCACATTTGTCAAATATAGTAAATGAATGAATGAATGAATGAATATGTGTTTTAAAGAGTCATTTCCTTGCATTACAGCACTGCGGTGCCGCACTGGCTCTTGCACACTCACCCCTGAGTTGCTGACAGCAGGTGGGGCTGTTGGCAGGCTCATGGTTGCGTGCTACCCCATTGCTGGGCTTTGGAGTCTGGTAGTCTGCACTCAGAGAGGGAGGAAGCATGACCTGCTCACTCTCTGCCCCCTCCTCTCGCTCGCTGGTCGGCAGTGACTGAGGGAAACCGAACATGAAGAGAGCCGAGCAGAAGAGTAAGGCGCCACACAGGAGGAAGCCTGCCCACCAGGCCCCGATCCACCGCGGGTCTTCTGGAGTGATGCCCAGCTTATCTGTGGAGAGGCCCAGCAGAGGTCAACAAACCAAACGCACAGAGAAAACACGCGAAAGCAACGCAAACACTGGAGACATATTGAACTCACCGGTGTCAATGAAGATAGCATCCACGTAGAACTTAGTGCAGAGGGAGCCGAGGATGAACCCACAGGCAGGCCCGAACACCAGAGTAGAAAAGAGGATTCCTGCAAGGAAACAAACATCCACGTTACTGGTTTGTTTGGTCTTATTATATTCAACTCACGCTCTAAGAAATACCTTTATATTGACAGAAGCACGGTTTTATTACAGCAGCTGTGAATGTTGTACTTTAGGTCACCAGCCAAAATCAAGAGAAGCACCTCCGATATACAAAAAAGGGATCCTTTTGTACAAAACAACATGACATACATGATAAAATATAATTGACTTTAGCCTCTAACCCACCCTAAGCATCAGGAGGAGTGGTGCTTGGGGAGCTATTTGGCGTTCAGTGTCTCGCTGGAGGACACGCAGGCATGTGGACAGGAGGAGCGGGCGATCAATGTCCCCATGCCGGAGGATTTCAATAAGTAGCATCAACGTTTGCACATATATTGCAGATGAAATGTAATACGCTCTGTGTTTATTATTTGTATTGTGTTTTATTGTCTTTATCTGTGAGATAAAGAGACATGTTCTGCTGCGGTGGGACAATAAAGTTTTATTTTATTCTAAAACCATATTAAAGCCCTGTGTGTCAGTAGAAATAGTTTTAAACAATTAACATTTTATTTTGAATGATGAGAACACTTTTAGAAATGCATCCACTTTCAGGAAGTCCAGGCAATGTAAAAAAAGAAATCGGAAAAATGCCGTCTTCAAATGTTTTGCTTTGTCCAACCAGCAATCTAAAACCCAATAAGATGAAATGATATAAAACACAGAAAAGCTTGGTTATTTGAGAAGCTGGACCCACAGAATATTTGACATTTTAGCTTCATTTCAGCTCTACGTTCATGTTCCAGGAGGTGCGGCGTGAAGCAAGACAGCAGACAGGGAAACATTTTGGCTGTCACGAAAGATCAACTCTCTCAAGACAAGTGCAGCAAGCAGTGACTGCAAATGTTATGATCACACGGCTCAGCCGTCTCACCCTCGCAGGGTGACGCCCTGCAGCACAAACAGATCCAAGCACACACGGTGAGGACGACACCTGACAACAGAAACCAGCCGTCTCGTCCCCGCTACGTGGAGCTCGATTCAGAATCCTCATTAGAGCGCTGTCAGCGGGGTGAGAGTCAGCTGCTGTGACTCAGACTGCAGGCAGAGAATGAAGACTCGAAAGCTCACTTTGGGAGAGTCGGTCTCCCTGACCGCATGTCCTGTGATCTGTGGCATCACCAGGCTGCACTGTTGGACTTTATGTGGAACACAGCAACAAAACAGACAGAGTTCTAAGTCTGTCTATAGCGTAGCATCAGAAGTAAAATCAAATCATCTCTGCAGCATCAGAACCACTGGCCTGAGCATGGCTGCCGTCAGCACAGAGTCTCCAGTGAGATGTTGTTGGGATGCCAGGAGCAGCCACTTAATGAACAAGGGCGGAAACTGTGACTAAGCTCTGTACGACTCCGCTAGTGCCGAGAGTGAACGCACGGTCTGCTTCCTGCCTTTGACCACCCACATAGGAAGGGAGGGGACACATTCACATAATTGTTGCCTCGTTCACACCACAGTTTATTCTTCACGTAACGGAAATGGCTCACCGATTTGTTAGGTGCGGCTCCCTAACTGTGATGGGGCACAAACGGACTCATTTAGGCCAGACGAGGAGTCAAACAAAAGAAAAGGAGCTTTCATGTTGGGATTGGAACAAACTGCTTTTATCATAAACATTCAGCTGAAACATCTTTGCGGTCAACAGTCAGGCCGGCACGGAAATGAGCAAAGATACAAATATATATCTATGAGAAATGTAATTTCCTCTTCTTACAGTCCGAATGCAAGACTGAAATCAAAGTTGAAAACTATTGAGCTCAAACAACAGTGTTTAACCACCTCTGTATACAGACAACGAGAGGGACTCGCACCCACAAACACACAGGAAGGAGCTGTTGTGGTACATCGGGGAGTGTTTAGTAGACACCAAAGAAACTGTGCAGCTTAACAGCACTTCCGGGAGGGCTGCAGCCCCTCTGTATACAGCAAATGTGCCTGTGGTGCTGCAAACGAGGCCTGTGCACTCTCTGCTTTGAGTGTTTCCTTAGAAACTGAGTGTTTCCTTCTCATAGCAACAACATCACAATTTCTTTCACCACAGGAAACCTCAAAGAGGAAATTCAGTTAGTGAAATCACCTTGCAGGAGACGACAGCTCAGCTAGCCCGCGGACCACCGAGCGTATAAACGTTTCCCCAGAGATCCGTGCAGACCCCGGGTTGCTCTCAGAGACGCCGTCTCCTTGATGGAGATCACTAATCTATGAGGGAGCATGGCTGCTCATCAATCTGCTGCTTCTGCACCAGAAACAAGGCCAACACAAGTTTTAAGTTGATGATAATCGTAACATGAAAGATTTAATAAAAAAAATATATGTATTTTTTTTTTTTACCAACCGGAGCCTAATCTACTTAATGTGAGCTGCTCCAGATAAACACTGAGATGCTACATGTTAAAAACACACAGACCGCCTGTGTAAAACTCTCCAGTTTGGCTTAAAGGAATTTGTCAACATTTTGGGAAGTTATATTCTCATCTAACTCAGCAAGAGAGGGAATAAATGAAAGAATATTTCCCAAAATGTCATAATATTCTTTTAAAGGTAACTTCTTCTGCGTACAGGAAGAGGCGGACCAGAGGAGGTAGACGGCATGTGGCCATAACGTTAGTCATCCAGCTCAGCGCTGCGATCTTATTATAAATAACCAACCTTTGCACTCGGGTCACAGATAAAAACACAACCGTGCACCTGTTCAAGCTGGAAAGGGACGTGTTTCATATTTATCATGACAGGATTAAGCTGGGGGAAAAAGAAAAAAAGTTAAGCACATTAAATCTCCATGAAGGACCGTCCACGACCACAGCCGTGGGTAATCTTTGTAACACACTGCTTTTTCTAAAATGCCTCAAAATCCCTTTTCCCTTCCAGCGGTCCGGTTACAAGATAAGCACAAAACAAACTAATTTGTTGACGTTGTTGTGCACCCGAGCCTTTTAGTATCATGTGAATTATACTCTCAGGGGAGCGTGTCAGAAGTAATTCAATAACAAAGCTCCGCTCTATTGTTTTTCTTTCCTTCTAATTTGTTTAGAGACCAATAGAAGGAGCTGGGAGCTTTCCCGGATATTAATTAACCCATAGATGCATCTTATAACCAAAAACTACGTTTGAAAAGTTGACGTCAGGTAAATGTTGAACACACAAACACCCACGCCTTCCCTTTAAAGAACACAGAGGGATGCTTTTGTAACACCTCACATGAAGCTCTTGTGGTTTACCACATGTGAAATGTCCTTGACGTATCTTCCACAGAAATACGGTAAATGTAAAGCACCTTTCTAGTCTCCCGACCCTTCAAAGTGCTTTAACACTACATGTCATCATTCGTTCATACACTGATGGCAGGGGCTACCTGGGCCAGATGGACATGGGGTCGGGGGTCGAACCAGCGACCCTCTGACTGACGGACGACCCTGCTCTACCACTGAGCCACCGAGTTTACAAGGAGGGTTCATTCCATGTGTGCGTCTCTCTCAGAAGAGCTGGAAAGTCTTATACTTTGTTTGTTTGTCTTGTGTCTGCCTACGACATCGCACCAATCCTATATTTATAGTCATTTTTGTTAAATACGCGGCCACATACAAGCACCTCCGTCTTATGGTCTTTTGTATTGGCTCAGCCAAAGATGAAGCCATAAGAGAGGAGATGATAACCGTGACACGCTGGGCTGCACTCTTCTTAAAAAAAAACACTTTGGAGACGAATGTGGAGCCAGGTGAAGCCCAGCAAGAAGCCGATTTAACGACGTTCCACACAGATACAAGGTTCTCTGCAGAGATAATTGGCATTTAAAAAACCCTTTTGTCCCGGAGTTAAATTTCTTTAGACCGTCAGAGCAGGGTTGATATTGTAATCCAACGCAGCGCGAGGCTGAACAGAAAAGCTCACGGTAATCGAAATGTCGGATGCATTAAGCCCGTGCCCTCCTCAGTTTATTTCCCGCTCTCACTGTACAAAGGGAACTCCTTCTCCTCCATTTAATCCGGCCCAGGTCGGCTGAGCTACGTAAGAGTGGAGGGACGTCGGAGGCCAGACAAACAGCTGGTGCCACTTCCACAAGGGCCCAGACTGAAACAGAGAGAGCCAAACGACTGCTGAAGGTACAGCCAGTGTCTCAGCTCTGCATCTCTGTCAGGAGGTCAACTGAGAGCAGGAACAAAAAGAGTCTTGGAAGGGAAGAAGTGCATAAAGCAGACACAGAGACTTCAAGGTTACTGTAAAGTTTTAAGAGCGCACGATTTACAGAGCTTTCAAACAAACAGCCCCGTCTTCCTCCTCGGCCGTACATCATGGCCATAACATCCTCCGCGTAGAAGCGTGAAGACGTTTTGAAGATTGAAGAGACTCGGGAGAAACACTCAGAGATCAGCACAGGCCGTTTCCTGCATGTCCAGTGAAGTAAGGTGGCCTCACTCACGCTAACAGTTACACAAAGGACTCAGACCAAGTCATGCACCGCGCCCAACAACGATCCTCCTGCTTCCTCTTCTCTCATCAACGGCACAGAAACAACCTGCACAATAATGACTCAATCTGTGTTCAAGATACGATTATTATGAGTATTTGTCCCACAGAGGACATTTGCAGGATTACAACAGCAAATGACAAAAGTAAACCTGAAAAACTAATAGAGGATATAAATGGACTGAATGGGTCACATTATTTCACAGAAGAAATTTGTATTGATATTGCACATTGGTATACATTGATATTGCATGTTTACTAAACACAAGGTTCACAGCGTGTCATCTGTGGTTTAAAAGCCCTTTGGTCTGTTAATTGTTGTGAATTAATATTGAAAATGAGGGTTTATCACATTTGAAATGAGGTTTCTCATTTTGATGGAGTCATAGAATACATCCTTGTTTGTTAGTTATCGTCAGCTGGTCTTCTCTGTTGCTTTAGGACAGGAAGCTGAGCTTGTTAGATTGGTCAATATTGCTTC